TTCTTAGAGGTGCTGAAACTAGACCAACTACTGCTCCTTCAAAATATCCAATTGTATTTGTTCATGGAAATTCTGATATTGGAGTTGGTAATGGTGGAACAGTTGGCTGGTAGACTGGATTCACATAACTTATTGAATATTTATAAAATTATGGTGGATACACTAAAGCTGATTTGTATGTAACAACATGGGGTAGATTTTATAATAATAATTTTTAGGACCTGCCAATCCTAATTTGGCTTCATAAAATAGTCATTCTGAGAAATATGTGATGACTACTAGACGTTTCATAGAAGGTGTTCTTGCTTATACAAAAGCTAGTAAAGTTATTGTAATTGGTCATTCAATGGGAGTCACATTAGCTAGAGCAGCTATTATTGGTGGAACTTATTCAGAATCTTTGTTTAGTAAATTTACTGTCGGAGATCCAATTACTAATTCTATTGCTGCTTTCTTTGGATTAGCTGGAGCTAATTATGGTTTAGTTGATTGCACTTATGCAACTGGATTACCTACTTGTAGTACTTATAATGGATTCTCACCATCATCACAAATGCTTACTGCTTTAAATTCTAAAACTCATAGAGAAGGTTCTAAAGTATATTCTTTCTGGTCTCCAAATGATGATATCATCAAATACAATTGCATTGTCAATTCAAAAAATACTTGCATTGTTCCTGGAAGTGATGAATCAGTAATTCTATCATTCATAATATTAGTATTAATAAAACGGATATACACACTTTGATGTTAGAGATAAGTTTGCAGCTGACATACTTCGTCTCATCTAGAAATTATGATTATTTTATATATTAATTAAATATAAGACTCAAATCTTTTTTAATCGTAAGGGGGGTATTCTTACAAATATACTGCTAAAAAAGGGGCCAACATCAAAGACCCTTAGTATAACAATTTTTTAATTATGCAAAAGAGATAAATCAATAAAAGAGGTACAACATCATCATTTTCAGGTTTGTGAAAGGAGTGTGTCTGAATTACAATTAATTAATTTATTAATTGCTTTTCAATTACAATTACTTTAATCTAGGCACACCCCCTAACACAAACCTTTTGCAAAATCCCATATATTTGAATGTCTATTCTTAATTTATATAGATTGCCTTAAGCTTAAGTTACAGAAAAAGGGAACCTTCATTGAAATTGTATATCCAGCAAAATCATCAGATGATGAAACTATTGTTAAGAAAAGGATTATTAGTAATTTCGATGTCAATCCTACATTTTGGATAACTTCTGAATAAGTTGTTCCTCCTAGTTTAGATTTTGAGGGTCTTTTTAAAAAACCTTCTCAAGAATAAGTTATTAAACACAATGAAACCTTTGAAAAGCTTGAAGTTGTCACTAATACCAATCAAAAGATACTAATTGATGTTCCATCTAGACCTGCAGCTTATTCTTTAGAAAAATTAAATTTGAAAGGAAAACCAACAATTGAGTAGTTGTTCTAAGCTATTCCTAATTGTATGGATTATAAGGAGAGGGATAAACACTTTAAATAAGGAGGCTATAAACTCAACTATCAATCAGGATATGCTCCAGTTGAAATCTAAAATAAACATAAGGATCCAGAAGATTATACAAAAAAATAACATTTTATTAGATAAAAGTAATCATAAGCTAATTTGAATTTGAAAAGAACATGTGGAGTATCCTATGTAAAAAAAAGTGAAAGTGAATAAAAAGATGTTAATCATATTTTTAAAAAGTACTGATTAAATTTTATTAAGACTACCTCCACTTGTTTATTAATGTTCATCAGGTTGTTAACCTATAAATGGTTATGATGAAGCCTTAGATAACTTATATAATAATCTTTTGAATGGAAAAAATTTGATTGTCTTCACACTTTTTAATTCTTAGGATGAAACTGCACTAAGAGAATATTTATTATTTCCTCACCTTAGAAATAAGATTTCAAGAGAAAGAGTAATGATAGCTAGAAAATTTTTTAATTTATGGATGCTATTTTAAGATGCTTTATGTTTAGTGATTCACTATAACTATGATGAGTATAAAATTAAATATAATTAATAGAAATTAATTATTAAGACCAATATAATTGGATGAGTAGGAAGATATTAAACAATAATTAGTAAACTTTATATGTGAATCAGAAATTTCAATATGTTTATTATTTAAAAAAAGTGTATCAGGTAGAAAAGCATTTTTGAAAAGTGTTGGATTATGGAATGAAGGAAATGATAATTCTTCAATCTGTACAGAAACATAGAAAGAAGAAATATAGACTAAATTTGTCATATCAGTTCCAAAAGTTCCAGTAAATAGTAATTCAACTGCCCAAAGCTTATTTTAAGAGTTTACAAATATAATACAATAATAAGAGAATTATGTTTTAGAAGCTCGATCTTAAGCTCAGGTTCCATAATCTTAATAATAAAGTTCAAATAATGTAAATCAAACAAAAAAGAAGAAGAGAGCAAAAATCTTATCATCTACTGATGTTAGAAAAGATGGTGGAGCTAGTGAATAATTAATAAATCATTTAATAAAAGAAGATGGAAATCATAATATTAACACATGTAGCATCAGAATGGAAATGTATGTCACAGAAGATAAATGGAAAACAGCTAATGATCATAATAAGGATTTACTTAATGCTTTCATTAAGAGAGTTGAACATCATGTAACTAACTATTATCTAATAAAAATGATGAACAAAAGATTTAAAGCAAATGAAAAAGGTTAAGATTATATTATAAGAAGAAGTAATAAGATTTATGAAATCCCTACAGATAATGTTTAGATAAAATAAAACAAAAAATCAATAAATTGGACTTCAACTTACTCTCCTGAAAACTTTACAAATTTATCAACATATAAATTAATCAAAAAATACTAACCTATTTCTCTTGATATTATTAAAATGAAAGAATTAAGTTTTCTAAAATAGCCATTATATTGTATAACAACAAGAGATAGTTTTGCCTTTGATTTAATTACTAAAGTGACTAAAGTTAAATTGGGAGATAGATTGGTAGATAGGTATTAGATAATAATTTAAATGAATTTAGATTAGATTTCTTTTTTGAACCTAACAATTGTCCATGCAATTTTAAATCATTTTTACCAATGTTTCCAGAATATCAAGTAGGAGCACATGCATATGTAGGTTATTTTACAAATGAAGAATTACTATAAATGGAAAAAGATATTTTTGAAATGGAATTAAAAGGATTTGATGGTAATATTAAACATTATTATATTCAAAAGGTCATTATTTACCTATGACTGCTTAAATATCACATGCATAATCAAATCATCATTCAAGTGTACGTAGAACTAAATTCTTTTTTGGTTATAGATATATGTGGACTAAATGTTAATTAGCAGAACCACATTCTATGGTAGCTGCTGGTGTTAGAAGAGATGTATCATCACCTCCATTATGGATGAGAAATCTTATTACTAAATTAGAAAATGACAACGTAGTTCCTAAAAAATTTATTAATTCGATTGCTTGTAATGTGTATCATGATGGAAAAGAAGGATTAGCTTAGCATTTTGATGATGCTGTTAGATTTAAATAACCAATTTTTACAATAAGAGTTTTCTCTGATTGTAGATTATCTTTTGGAAGTTAATTTTATGGATTTTGTAATGGTGCTTTTGCTGTTCCTTTACCAAGAGGGTATTTATTATATTTACTATTATTAAGATGCATTCTTTGTATGGAAGAAGGATCGTATGCTGCAAATGCTATTAAACATTGTGTTAGACCTTGTGATATGACTGGTAAAAGTGCAGCTTTAATATTGCGTTAAATGCATGATCAAGTTACTTAGGAAGCTATAAAGTATGATGAATAAGTTGATCTACCATGCCATATGTCTACTTTATCAGTTGATGATAATGCAATACCTTTTGGAGAATAAAAGAGATTAGAAGCTGAATTACTAAGTTGATTATGAATGATAAATGCCATATTATTTAATATTATAAATACTCTTTTAAAATTTTAAGATCTAACATTATTAAGCTGATTTAAAGTATTAGAATTCCTTTAATGTTTTTAATAATTCAACAATATTATTATTGTTATTTAAAACATATTTAGAATAGCTGATAATAGATCATCAATATCTTAATTATATATCAAATATTTAGACATTGGATAAAATATGTCAATTGAAATTTTCATTAAGAAATCTAATTCTAAATAAATGAAACCACCTTCTAAATAATATAATTATTGGTTAAATTTAGAGAAACATTTAAGCTCTTAAAAAATATCATTTATGTATTGAAGTAGAAAGATTAAAATTTTATCAATGTGACTGAACTTAACAGATAAACAAGATTTTTTTTCAATCTTACATTGTAGGAGATTTTCTTAATACATGATATACAAATTATTATAAATATATATGCAATAATCCCATTTTTATTACGACATGTTCAAAATCATATCATTACTATTTCAATAGGATCTTATCAATAAATAAGAGAAGGATGATTTGAAATGTACATGAATTTTAAATGTTAGTTATGGTACTTGAATCTCAATCTGAATTGATGTTCTAACTGCAGACTATTTATCGTTCATCTGTAAAGGGAAAACAATTATATATGGTCCACGAAATAAAAAAATATATAGAGTCTCATCGATAAGGTTCTCCAAGAAATAGTTCACCAAGATCATCTAGATATTTAGAAGCCTCTCGTATGTGGAGTATTTACGAAGAGAATGAAGAAGAAGAAAGAGATAACGAAATAAAACTGATTGGAATTCGACGCTGACAATTGGTTTGTTTAAATGTTATGACTCTTTTTGTTTATTAATTATTTATGGAGACTGAAACTCAATATTAAATTTCTCCAGAAGGTGTGTTTCTAATTATATCTTTAGATATCGAATTTCTGAATGATAAATATCGTCTTGTTTTTACATATCCTGCCGTAGCATTTGCCATTTCTGGTGTCATCCTTGCATCCACTAGATTTTTGAGCTTTCCAAAATTCTTTAGAAATCCTCTTGAAGTAAGTAAAATGATAAATAAATTAGTCTCCTGAAGGAAATGCCCTATTTTATACTAGACTTTCAAAAATGGCAAAACCACCATTGTTATTATATGGTGCATGTGTTGGAGGAGCTATTGGGTTATTTTAGTATGAATTAGCTAAATATCACATGTTTGTGAAGTATAAAACTTTAGTAAATACATATTTGGATGCTTGTGAGGCTGTCTATGTGAGTGAATTAAAAAAAACTTAAGAAAAATGAATTTAATTAAAATATAAGTACACTTCAATATCATCTTAACCAAAAATCAATTATTATATAATTTATTATCTGATAATCAAATAGATAAACAAATATATATAGTTATTTAATAGAATTTTGTTTACTTTAAAAATGATAATAATCATAGTTTGTATTATAAAAACTCTTAGTAGTCAATTGAACCTTTCTATTATGCTTTTAATAGAAAAAGACAGTAAATACATTTAAGTATTACATTTAAATATTACATTTCAATCATTTCTAAATTTCCAATAAAATCTCTTTTCAAAAAAAATAAGCAATTAATCTAAAATCCTTAAAAAGATTCTTTTCCAAAAATATAAAATTTAATAGTAATAATGCAATTATGCTGTTTATAAGATTGAACTAGATATTGATAAAAAGGAATCTTTTTCTAAAATCTTTTGACTTTAACAAATTTTCGAAATAAAAGAAGAAAATTAAAATTAAAAATCATAGCAAAAATTTATTATATGCAGATAAATAAAAAATGATAAACAAATCTATTTTAAAAAGAAAATTAGTTTTATAAAGTGATTTTTTTAGTTACGATTTTGCTTAAATAAATGAATATGCAATTAATTAAATAATAATAATTCTTATACTTTTTTTTTATATTTTTTATCAATAAGGCTTGCATTGTCTAATAAAATAAACTGTAGCAAACAAAGATAAAGCTGGCAATCCTCGACTATGTTATAATTATTTAATTTACAGAACCATTCTTTTGACTGGATTCATTCTTTCAAATCTGATTTATCTTGCAACATCTCCAGCTGGTTATCTCAATTAGATATAGGAAATAGTGCAAACTCCAGCTGATACAACAGCAGCTATTGGTGAAAAGAACTAGGATTTTATTAATTCCTATTTACGTAAGAATTAAAAAATTTTTGACTAAATGATAAGCACTCTGTATTAATTCTGAATTTATAAGAATCAACTATCGTTTCATCAGTAGGAATGGAATATAATTCTCTAATTTCTGGAGTTACTGTAAGGAAATCAATATCCTAATTTGACATTATTTATATATATTTATTAATATTTTGAATATTTGTTTTTTATTTATATAAAGAAATAATTTAAATATGATAACAATATTTCTATTTATAATTCATACCTTTTGAAAATAGCTAAATTTAATGCCCCAAAACTATATAATCTATTTGATGATTAGATTTTGAAATATTTAATGAGTAGCTATTATAAAAATGGACTTTCCCTAAATTAAAATTAATAATTTTTTCATTTTTATTTTTTTAAATTCAAGTTAAAAACTGAATAACTTTATCATTGTAATTAAGCAAATTCCTTAACCAAAATCATTATTTTTTTCTATATTTAGATTAGTTTGAATAAAAAAAATTGTAAATTAACTAATGAACTTTTTTTTCTTATCTAAAATTTACTTTATATATTCCTAGATTTATGAGATTAAATTCTAATGGATTATATTTCGACATATTACATTATATAATTTAAGGAACCATATTAATCTCACAAAACTATTACATATATTTTTTTGAAGAATATGATCAAAAATTCCAAATTTTACATAATTTATGATTTAAAGACTAAAAAAAAAATATTATTTACTTATAATATCTAAATTCATAAAACTTATTATTTCAGATTTAATTATTTAAATATTACAATAAAAATGATGAATTAATAAAAGCAAGTGACACTAATTATTAAGTCAGGAGAATATTTTACCTATAATTCACAAGAATTAGATTTCTATAAGATCAATTATCATCCAGAATTTGATCCAAATGATTTTTTTGCTGCTGCTAGGTTGTTGTATTAATTGTCTTATTAAACAAAAATTTTAACTCTTGAATAATATGTGGAAATATTATATAAGAGTGAGTTTAAAGAATTACTTAAAGTAATCATCAAAGGTGATGTAATCAAATCAACAAAGGATGAAAAAATTATTTTGATTGAATTTTCGCTTAATTCAGGATTTAAATCCTAAATTATCCCCTTTTTATTGTAAAGAAAAGAAGAAGCGTTGCCCAAAAAAAGATTTGCTTTATTAATAACAGAGCCCCAATATTATGATAAATATGTAAATATAATGGAGGCATTGCACTTAGGAATCTACAAATAAGAAAATGAAGATTGGGAAATTCATCTAGTATATATTTTTCTAATTTTAGGCAATAGAGAAACAATTTCCAAAATTAGAAGGTTTAGAAGGGATTGTTATTACTGGTTCAACAAGTTCAGCTTATGATGTGTGGGAGGATTGGAAGGAACCATTATTTAATTTTTTAAAAGAAGCAGATAAACTATAAATTAAAATGCTGGGAATATGTTTCGGACATCAAATTTTAGCTCATTGTTTAGGTGGAGAAGCAAGGAAAATGACTCATGTACCTCGAATGCAAGTGGGAAGATTAACTTTACTATCAGGTTTAGAATTTGCAGAATATCATATAAAAAATTTAAATGTATATTAAATACATGGAGATTATGTTTTTGAACTACCAAAAAATAGTGAACCGTTGATGAGTGCACAACATTGCCAAAATTATGCTTTTAAAAGTTCACACCTATTAGGATTATAATTTCACCCTGAGTTTAATCCATTGATCTTATTATATTTTTTTTGGGATTTTGAAGATTAACAATTAAAAGAAGTTTATTTAAAATAATGCTATGATAGCTTTAAATAAGGAGAGGATCAATAATTAGCAATTTGGGCTTACATTATAAACTTTTTAAAAAATAGTTGAAATTAAAGTTTGATGATATTATATAAATTAATATATTTATTATTGATATTAAAAAATTTTGTTTTTCAAATAAATTTTACTCTAAATTATTTCTAAAACATTATCAGATTATATTTAATTTCAAAATATATCGACATATTAAAAAGAATCGAAAATAGAAATATTTTTCAAATTTGATATCTTATTCTAATAACTAAAAATTAACATTTTTTTACCTTTTTGATATATGGAAAATATAATTTTTTTTTTTCATAATTAGTAAAAATATTATATCAAATTTAATTGAAAATCTGAATTATGTTAAAATTTGCTAAAAAATTATGATGAAAATATAAATGGCTAATCCATGTTCAATATTAGTAGGATTACACTATAATTTGAATAAAAATTATTATGTAATTTAAAAAATGGATCAGAAAGGATAGAAATAAAAAAATCCTACTTTCTTAAACATAAAAAATCTTTTTATGTAGTAATAATTTATTTATTTTAATAATGTAATCCATGCATAAAAAAACTAATATACATAACATTTAATTATAAACTCATTTTTTAAATAGTGACTCTTGAACCCTTGATAAAAATGATTTTCTGACTTTTATTTATTCTGGAGCAGTGCGCTTGATTGTTTGGTCAATTGATTAAATGATAGATTTATTTTTCTCTCTTAAAAATTTGGATATGTAAGATTATTCTATCTGTTATTCATGATTTTTAGGAGCTTTTGATAAATTTTATTCATAATCTGATACAAGAGCTTTAAGATTCTATTTAATATAATAAAAGAATTTACCATTAATTCACCTTCATTGTGCATAGATTTTTATTTGATAAATTATTACATTTTAACTCTTATTTTTTATTCAATATCTTAAGTACCTTGAACAAGTAAACGTGCAGAATTAACCCCTTCCAAATGTTCTTACTCTTTAGAAATATCTGATATAATTTTCATGATATTTGAATTAGTTGCCACTCTTTAATGTGTGTATTTTTAAAACTTTAATAATTTTTTGCCAACTATAAGATCAGTTTAGCATATTTTATCTAGTTCTTCTTAAGAAGATATTTATTATTTAACTGATTTTAAAGATTTAATTTAAATTGCATTATCAAAAGAAGAGAGCACTTTTTATTAATAATAGAGATCCAATTCCTTTTTTGCTTTTAAAGATGAAAATGATTCAATTTCTCTTTTTGGAAATCTTTTTATAATAGAATCTATATCTGATGTAAATTTAAAAGATTTAGTTTTAACATGATTTGTAATTGCAGTTGCTCTGTGAGAATGTTAAGGTGATGGATTACCAATAGTTAATTTACTGTTTTTAACTTCATCTAAAGAATTGAATGTTCTACATTTTTCATGTTACCTAGGGGTATGAATATTTGATTAAATAGTTGTTTCTTATTCTGTAAGTCGAAACATATTTTTTTTTAAATTAGTATCTTCTGGTTATTAAAAGATGGAATATAATTAAAGATTTATTTCTTTATTAAATTTCTTATAAAATCTAGCATTTGTGTCTGACCAAATATCATTTTTTAATTTTGTATCATATTTTATGTTAGACTAAGGAAATATAGGAGCAAGTATGTAGTTAATTTCTTTAATTTCTATCATAAATGATTTATACTATAGATTTAAATAATTAAAATACTTAATTTGAATTCAAATGGTATTGTTCTTCTAAAAACATTGCTAATCCGAAATTATCAATTAATTCTGTAAGCCAAAGTGCTATTTTAAATGTTTCTAATAATTTATTATAGTCTGATTGTAATTCATATACGAAAGTCATTATATAAAGTGTTATTATAATCCAAGAAATCACTTTTGAATATTGGTCATAAAGTTTTTTAAGATGAAAATCTTGATTTATAATATCAGTCATAATAATTTAACATTCACCAATAGCTTCTTTATAATAAAAAAGTGCAGCATCGAATAGTTTAAATTGGAAATGTAAATGTCCAACTGATAAATAATATTGAAACTTGATTTTATTGAAACGAGAATCCTTAAAATATATTTCAGGCTTCCAAACTAACATTGATCGAACATCTTCATGAAGTTTAGATAACTAAAAAATTAAGAGGTGAATCTATGATATTCGATAAAGTATATCCTTAAGATAAAATATTTCTATTAATTGTATAAATGTTAATACTTAATTCATTTGCTTAATTTTCGAGCAATCCAAAATAAAACATAATAAATTGTTATAGCTTTCTCAATAAATGTAATTAATTATCGTGTTTAAGTCCATCCCTAGATTATGATTTAAGAATTTTAATAAGACAGACAATCCCTCTTCTTAGTAATTGTAAACGAATACGCCATCCTGTTTATATAATCAAGGATCTTTCAAATTCTTTATTAATAAGTTAAAATGCAACTCTGTATTTGCCGGAACCTTGAGAATGGGAAATAGAATACGCAAAGTTTAAGTGATTTCAATAATTTAGTTTTGGAAATGGTTTTCTTACGTAATAGTTAACTGCTTGGTATGACTCCTCATTATATTAAATAATAATCATTTATTATGTAGAGAATTTTTCAATCTTGATGTACTGCATTAAATATTTAGTTAATTGATTGAAGTCAATGTATTAATCCTATCTTATAATGGTTTGGATTATGGTTTTTCAATTTAAGCAATATCAGAAGTCTTTCGTTAAATTTTGGATTTCCAAATCATTTAACTAATAATTTATTTTGTGTATTTAAGTCTTTTTACCATTTAAATATTGTCACTCTCAAAAGCCTTACTCAATATATATGATTGTTTCATAGATTCTTTATCAATATAAGTAACTACTTTTAGATTCTAACTAAGTATCACTTATGTTTGATCATTGAAAATAACTTATACAGTTTTATTAGATAATCTAAATATCATAGCATGTTTAGATTTCATCCATTTCTTAACATAGATCCTCTAAGATTCAAATTAATAGTTTTCTTTAACTTTTTCATCTAACAATAGATAACTTCTGAAATGTATCATAATTGTATTCTTTTTAAGCATCTCTTGATATTCTAAACTTCCCTCTATTTCATCTCCATTTCTATCTACATATATGTATTTACTAAAATATTCAATATAATTTATTACTCTTAATTTAACATCAACATTTTAGAACTATCATTGAAATATATACCACATTGTTAATTATCTAATAAATATCCTAAACCATATTTGCTTGAATAATCAACCCTTAATTTAGGAATGAATGTTACCATTTCTTTACAATAATTTAAGGTTCTTAAATTACATAATTTTAGTTGAGACAATTTTCATTCTATTCTAAAAATTACAGTCTATCCATACTTCTATATTGGAGGAATTATTTTGCATTTTAAATATGATTTTAAGTATTTTCTAACCTGTGAATACTTTATGATTATTATTTCTAATATAATCTAATAAATTATGATGAAGGTGGACAGGTTAAGGTGCTTAATGGTAACAATTCAGGAATTAAACCTTTAAAGAATTCGTGGTTCTTTATTTCATCCAAAGTTAATCTTTTTGATGGATCTATAACTAGAATTTAACTAATTAATGATTTAGCTTCATCACTAATTATTATATGTTCTGGAAATTGATAAGCATTCATCTTAATTCTTCTATAAGTTTTTTTTACATCATTAGTTTCAAAAGGAGGTTTCCCAATCAATAATGTATATGCAATTACTCCAAAAGACCAAATATCCACTTCAAAACTATGTCCATATTTCGATTCTAATATTTCAGGAGCAATATAATTTGGAGTTCCACATATTGTATGTTTTCTTTCTCCTTCAAATTCTAATTAAGAGGCCAATCCAAAATCTCCTAATTTTATTTCCATTTTGTCTGACAAAAATAAATTACCCAATTTTAAATCTCTATGAATCACTTTATGTTTATGTAAATAACTAAGTGCTTTTAGAATTTACATTAAATAACATTAAACTTCAAGTTCTGTTAATCTTTTTCTTCTCTTTAATAATTCATTTAGTGTTTAATTAGTGCATAATTCTAAAAGAATATATACATTTTCATCATCTTCAAAATATTTATGAAACCCAACTATATTTTAATGTTAGAGACTTTTATGTATCTTAATTTCAGACATCAATTTTTATCTTGTTCTAGATCTTGTTAAGGTTGATTTACCAATTATTTTGCTAGCATATAATTACTCTCCAAATGAAAATTCATAACATTTAGCAAATCCTCCTTTCCCCAAGAATTTACCTTTAATATACTAACGCACTGTATTATCAGAGCACACTTCTTCAACAAAATCCATTTTTTAACGATTTATTTTAAAATCAGAATTTAGAGTCATAAATTTTACAAATTATTTTCATCTCAAAGTATTGATAATCTTGATAAAACATTAAACAAAGTCTAGTAAATAAAAAATAAAAATGGTTTTAACTGTTGAAAAATATAATTTTGAATATACANTCATTCTATTCTAAAAATTACAGTCTATCCATACTTCTATATTGGAGGAATTATTTTGCATTTTAAATATGATTTTAAGTATTTTCTAACCTGTGAATACTTTATGATTATTATTTCTAATATAATCTAATAAATTATGATGAAGGTGGACAGGTTAAGGTGCTTAATGGTAACAATTCAGGAATTAAACCTTTAAAGAATTCGTGGTTCTTTATTTCATCCAAAGTTAATCTTTTTGATGGATCTATAACTAGAATTTAACTAATTAATGATTTAGCTTCATCACTAATTATTATATGTTCTGGAAATTGATAAGCATTCATCTTAATTCTTCTATAAGTTTTTTTTACATCATTAGTTTCAAAAGGAGGTTTCCCAATCAATAATGTATATGCAATTACTCCAAAAGACCAAATATCCACTTCAAAACTATGTCCATATTTCGATTCTAATATTTCAGGAGCAATATAATTTGGAGTTCCACATATTGTATGTTTTCTTTCTCCTTCAAATTCTAATTAAGAGGCCAATCCAAAATCTCCTAATTTTATTTCCATTTTGTCTGACAAAAATAAATTACCCAATTTTAAATCTCTATGAATCACTTTATGTTTATGTAAATAACTAAGTGCTTTTAGAATTTACATTAAATAACATTAAACTTCAAGTTCTGTTAATCTTTTTCTTCTCTTTAATAATTCATTTAGTGTTTAATTAGTGCATAATTCTAAAAGAATATATACATTTTCATCATCTTCAAAATATTTATGAAACCCAACTATATTTTAATGTTAGAGACTTTTATGTATCTTAATTTCAGACATCAATTTTTATCTTGTTCTAGATCTTGTTAAGGTTGATTTACCAATTATTTTGCTAGCATATAATTACTCTCCAAATGAAAATTCATAACATTTAGCAAATCCTCCTTTCCCCAAGAATTTACCTTTAATATACTAACGCACTGTATTATCAGAGCACACTTCTTCAACAAAATCCATTTTTTAACGATTTATTTTAAAATCAGAATTTAGAGTCATAAATTTTACAAATTATTTTCATCTCAAAGTATTGATAATCTTGATAAAACATTAAACAAAGTCTAGTAAATAAAAAATAAAAATGGTTTTAACTGTTGAAAAATATAATTTTGAATATACATTCTTATAAAAATAGTACATTATTAATTTATTATTTACTACATTACTTTTTAAATTAATTGGATATATAGAAATGAAGATTTCAATAATTGAATCAAATAATTATATAGATTTTATTAAAATTTTTAGTTTTTAATAAATTTTTAATGTAATCAATTCGTGCATAGAGAATGAAAAAAATAATGTAAGTCCAAGGAGAAGTTGGACAACATAAAGGATATACAGCTATAAAAATAGCTGGAAATGCTCATGAATTAATACGTAAAAGTAAAACAGTAGCTAATAATATTGGTGAATTAGCAAAACAAGATATAACTAAGAAACTTTTACAAGATTAATTCAACTCAATAAAAAGTTATGACATAGCTAAAGGTGAAGAAAAACCTGGTTAATAATTTAAATCAATGCATAGTATGTACGATTTGTAAACATTGAAGATTACAAAATTGTATAAGAAAAAAGAAAGGAATGAACTTGAAAAATAAATAAGAAATCAATTATCAAAAGATCCAGATAAACAACTTTTATTATCAGAGATATATGAATAATTAGAAGATAATTCAGATGGAGAAGTTCTAAAAAAGAAAGATAAAATTAAAGAAGAATCTCTGTCTACTTAGTAATAAGAGTATGATGAATCATAAGATTAAACTGCAGATCTTAAATTATGGACAAAAAGATTAAAAGAGCAAAAGAAAAAAGAAGAACGTAAATAAGATGATAGTAGTACACTTAATTTGATTTCATAAAGAAATAAAAAAAGATCATCAACTGAAATTAAGAAACAAATATAACATTAATAATCAATTAAATTATTACCTTTGGAAAGATAAAATTCATCATAAAATTCAGTTCCTTCATAAAATACACCTAAATCTTATAAAGATATTATGAAGAATGCTGTCTCTAAAGTTAAATAATTAAAGAGTTTAAATGAAGATTTAAGTGTAGAACGTTCAGTAGAATAATATATTTAAAAAGCTTCAGCAGTAGCTTTAAGTGAATTAAAAGAAATTGGAGAACTTAATGTAGATGAAGAAAAAGGATTGACAACTAATTTTGATTTTACAAATGAAGGAGTATAAAGAATGTATAATACTTTAGTTAAAGTATAAATTTCAGAATTTAAATCAGAAGCTGAAAAGGCTAAATTTTATAAAAAATAAACACAACTCATATCCAATAAATTAACATTTAAAATTAAATAGAATGATATTATGATTGATACAAGAGTTACTACTTAAGAAAAATTAAGATTAGAAACCCATGAATTTCATGAAAAAATTGGATAAATTAAATAATTAACAGAATAATTAATAAAAGAAATCAATAATTTAAAAGATCCAAAAATTCAAGGCAGCCTTTAAATGAGTAAATCAAGAATGTCATTAGTCAATTAATTTATGAATCAATAAAATAAATTAAAAGAGTTAGATTAAGATATCTTAATACTTAAAGAGAGCAAAAAAGCATATAAATAAAAAATAATATTTAATAAAAAGACTTTAGATTAGATAGATTAAGACATTCATACTAAAAAAAAAGAAAATAAAGCATTGTAAAGGTGTTTAGTAAGTTTTTATTTTTAAGTATTAAAAAATGGATAAGATGTTAGAACAACTGGAATAGCATGGGTTATTTCCAAATTAAATTCTTTAGGTGAAAAATCTTAATATTCATTTATGCCTGATTTTTTAGATTAAAAAGCTAAGGAATACTTACTTTAAGTAATTATTATTTTTATCTAAGAAAGCATCTATGTTATCAGATATAGAGCATTTAGAAAAAGAATTAAGTGAGTCTTTTAAATAATATAAATAAGAATAATCTCTAGATAGTAGTTTGGCTATTATGTAATAGAGTTTATCTTAAAATGATTCTTTAGAAATTTCATCTTTGCCTTCAATCTTTCCTCATGATAATCATAAATTATCTTCAATTGACTTATAACAAGCAAGATAAGATGCTGCTAAAACTTGTAGAAACAACTATTAATTAGATAAATTGGGACCTATTACATAAGGATTGTCAAATGAAGATATTGAAAATTTAGAAAATATGTTAACAAAATTAAACTAAAAAAATTAGCCAGTTACCAATGGCACATTAATTTATAAAGAAACTTAAAAAAAAATTAAATAGTAAATAAAATAAAAAAGTCAAATGGAAGTTTCTCAAATAAATGATTAATCTGCAGTTTTAAAAGAATAAGCAATTCATTCTTATGATAAATGCAATACATAATTAAATAAAGTTAAATCAAAAGTATCATTTTGTAATAGTTAAGCTTCAACATCTTGAGGATGAACAAATAATTAGAGTTGTAAAAGAATTTGATTATAAGAATTACGGTAAAAGGTTTAGTATCGATCCAATTACAGTGATTTCATGTCTCGTTGGAGGAGCTAGATGTGATAGGGAAATTGTTAAATATGGAATAAAGAAAATCCATTATGAATGAAATAGTATACTTATTTTTATATTTTATATATCAGTAATTCTCTTTACTTATTTGTACATACTTTGGTTTAGTATCTGATCTACTTGTATTAAATTATTAAGATCTTAAAAATTATTATTATGGTGATTTATTAAGGGGCTAATATAAATATGATAAATACTAGATATATCATGTTTTATCGTAATGGTGATTTATTAAATTGATTAGATTATCTTATAGGTGATTTAACATTCTAAAAATGATTTTAATAGAATGGTATCATATTATAAATTTTATCCCTATATTTGTCTATAAAATCTTTAAGCATTTACCATGATGGTCTTTCTTATTCATCTAATAATAATAACTATTTAATAAATTCAATCAAAATCTAAGAATATCCCATTTACATAATTCGATTAAACTTTTATTCCAATTAATCAGTTAAAACTATACCATCAACATAATCAAAACAATCATAAACTTCTTCCATTAAGATTACACTCAAAACTGTGAGTCCGAATGAATATACATCACTTTTATATGGATCATGAATAGGTGACATAATCAATTCTTTGTATTATTTCAAAAGACTTGGAGATAGATATGACTTGTCTTAACTTTATATCATTTTTTAATATCCATTAAGTCCATCATTAAACAGACTACATTCAGATAATTTGATGCAACCATTTTCATCTAAATAAATTGTAGAAGGTTTAATATCACCATGAAAGACATTTTTTTCGCTTAAATATGTACATGGATCAATAATTTATTATAATAGAATCCAAATATGTCCTTCATTGTAAGGTTTATTATTTAACCTCCTTATACACATTTCATTTGTTAAACTCTCTTCATAATATTAAATGATAATTGCAATAGAACTTTGATCTGAACAAACTTTCATTTGATCTTATTTATGAACTGCAAGTATTTTAAGTAAATTGTTTTATTCAAAAGAATTTCTTTTTTTTAGATGAACTACAAGATTGGATAATTCTTTTTCACTTTTTGTAAAATACTTCTTAAGACAGATTTATTCGTTTGTCTATGTTTTAATATGATTTTACTTAAATGTGTGTAAATAATTTAATAGTTCCAAATTATGGATGTATAGTCTCTCTTTCTTGGGAATATTGAAGCAGAAATTATTTATACTCTTAAGTCTTTTGATTAGTACTTTATTCTTATCCCATTAACGATAAAAAATTATTTATAAAAAATCAATTCCATAAATCCTCTCCAGATTTTTATTTATGTTTTTTTACTAGTGGAGGATTAAGCTAATTATTGGATTTGCTTGGTTTAATAATCAATTTATTAATAAATTCTTGTTATTTTAGATTGGAAGTTTCTTATTAAAACATCTTAACTGCCTTTTTAGGTGAAGCTTCTTTGTTTGATAGTATCATTTAGAGCTTCTATAATTCTTAAGCTACAGTTGCAAGTGAATTTCCATTAGCAGGTTTAGTGAGTTAATTTAATATTAAATCAACAGATTCTAAATATATTACATATATTAATACTTTTAGCTTATTCAGTAGTTGTATCATTTTCATACTTATGAATTTATTCTTAAAGTAATACTAAATCTTTTTTCTATCTTTCTTATTCCATTTTACTAATTTTTAAATCAAGTTCTAATTTTTTGTTTATATCAATTTAATTTTTTAATTCATATTAAGTAACAGCTTCAGAAGAATGATGATAAGAACCTTATTAAGGTAATGTTTAAATATAACTATTTGAAGAGGGATCAGCAATTAAAATCATTTTAGAGGATGGCATTTCAGATAAAAACAATTATTGTTTAGCATTAATATTATTTTTAGAATTAATAGGAATATCTAGAGAAGTGGGAATTTCAACATCTTTTTAATTTAGAATCTCAACTAATTATTATATTCTTGATTCTTTTGTTTAATTAATATCTTCTAATTCTTTTTATAATTTCTCATAAGCATCTAATTCTTCTTATAATTATAAAATAGTATCATCTCTTTCATTTAATCTATTAGTTAAAGCAATCATAATATCTCTTTATTTTAATAATAATTATTTATATTTATCTGTTTAAGCTTTATCTTCTTCAATATTTTATCTCTCTTTTTCTAATTCTTATAATTTCTCTTAATATTATTATCGGATAATTTTTTATTATTATTCAAGAGCGTTTTAAAATTATGGAGTTTCTTCAATTTTCTATCCTCCAACTAACATTTAAGAATTCAATGATGAAATCTTTTCTTCTAATTATTTTCTCATTTCTCTTTCTTAAACAAGATCTCTATTTCTTTATTCATATGCACTCATAACTTCCTATTTATCCTCTAATGCTTTTTATCTTTCTTTTTCTAATTCAGCAACCATTGAATCAATTGGCATTTTACTTCTTTCATCTAATTCTTATTTTAATTTTTATATTTCTAATTAATATTTTCTTAGTAAAGCTCCTTAATCTTAATCTTAATTAACCATAGGAGTATTTCTAATATTTTTAGCTCTATTAGCAAACTTTAAAGTAGAAAGAGATTCATTAAATGCTTCAATAGCTGGTGATATCATTGCCATAAATGTAGTTTTACAATTTCCTCCTAAAGAATCTTCTAATAATCTTGTAATTTTAGAGTCTCTATATGGAATATGTGATTTTGGTTATTTAAATTCAGTCAAAGCAGCTATAACATTTCCTAAAGCAGATAAAGATTAATTGATCTTTTTAGATTCTTCTAAACGTATACCTGTAGCTCCAGTTACTCTTACTCTTTCACTTCCTGCTAAATCAACCAAATTAAGTTTTCCAACTTTTGCTCTCTTTCCTTCTGGAGTCTCCTCTATCTATTCAACTGTTATAATAAAAACAGCATGACTACGAGATGATGTATCATTCATTCTTGTACTTGCTGTTACTCTTTTTGCATTTCCTCTTCTCATTAATTAATATATTTCTGGAGGAGAACGAACTGCCCATTCTGATAAATTCTCTACAAATACACCTCTCTTCTTATCTTCTCTAATATTTAATTATTAATGATCAGGTCTCAATAAATCACTTATTTATTCATTGTATATTTATAAATATGATGCTCTTACCATAAAAGTAGTCATTGAATTAGATTTCATCTATATATGTGTAAAAATATTATGCAATGATCTTGGTATTATACCTAACTAATCTGAATTCGGAGTAAATGAAAATCCATGCATTGTATATGTTTTACCTGTTCCTGTTTATCCATAAGCCATAATAGTAGAATTATATCCCTTTTGAATACTTATTCATTTCATACTTAAAGGGTTGAATCTACTGATAGTGCAGCTGTTGTTTCATACACTTCTACTTATGTACTCTCTTGATCATATACATAATCAAATGTAAATTAATGAATCGTGTAATTTGCTGGGTTTTATACAAAAGCCTCCAATTCTTCATCAGGTACTAATTCTATTGCATGATAATCGAAAATGCAAAGTTGCTGATTATCTGGAGCCGCTTGGACCTTTTCAAATTTTGAATCATAACTTTACAGTTGATATGAATTTTCCATCCTTTATCTCTCTTGCCATTGGAGGACGGATTCTTATTACTACCCGAAGATTTTCATTAGAACCTTCTTTCTCTCTCTATTTCATTAATTTTTATGTTGTATTTACTTTTAAACATAGCTTTTGCAAATATATTAGATAATGTTTTTGCTAACTTTGATGCCCCTTATGTCCATATTCCTAATGATTTTCATGTTGTTTTTGGAACCTAAAGAACCAGTAGTCCTAACACAATCACCGTAGATTATTCTACAAAATTGGCTAGTTCACACATTATTTTATCTATTGATAAAATTGGAGAAATTGCTAATGCTTATGTCAATCTAAATACAAATAAGGTATATTTAAATTATTATCATTCATTTCCACCTGAAATGAAATGTTCTATATTTAATGCTCCAAATATATCTAACAAATTGTAAGTTCAATCTGGAAATAATGCATTTATACTCGAACCTGATGTTGTATTTCATTTAATGAGTCTTTATATGGGAACTGGAGATGATGATCTTGCCAGATTTGAGATTAGTTCGCTTTTGTAAGGAAAAAATAAAGCATATGCATTATTTGATAAATAAGGAAATCTAGATTCTATAGAAATCGATTTGGAATCTAAAAGATAAATTAGATTCTATGTAATTGAAGATTTAGTGGAAAAGAAGTTTTCTCAAGATGATTTTAAAGTGCCTTGGGATTGTCAAGAATCTGATGTAAATTTGAGTGAGATTATTGAAAAATTGATGTTATTTTTAAAGTGAAAATAAAATGAATATGAGTACAAAAACATTGAAATCTCTTTAATAAAGTACCCACAAACATTAACTACTATCTGATGTGTTCTCTGATATTAACTTCTATAAATATCGTAGTCAGTCAAATACTGATTAATATACTCCAATAAAAGGATTTTAGATTGTTAAATTAAGAGGTCCTTCTCGATTATCTGTTTAACCATCTTAACAATCTATTAAGACAATTAAAAGCATTAAAAAACGAAATAATTCTCAAAGCAATGTCAGATTTGATCTCTTTAAACATGTTTTGGAAATGGATGATAGTGAAATGCATGATAAACTAATTAATCTATTTGAAATTGATTTAAAAATGCGTAAGAACTTAGAGATTAACAGAATGATAGTTTAGGATAAATAATAATCATCAGCATTATTGGATGAGATCTATTAAGAGATTTTATTAATGTTAAGTAACACTATAGAGAGAATACATCAATATATAAATGCTAACAATCTCGAACGTTCAAATTTAAAAAAGGCACATCGAAGAACTGCCATTGAAATAGAACATTAGATGTAAGAGTTTATAAATATGATGTTAACTGCTATTGCTAAAAGAGATATGACATTAGCAAAACTAATAGAGAATGCTTGGAAATTAGTTTGTATTGCAATAGAAATGATATTATAAAATGGAAAAGCAGAATAAGAATACATTCAATAAGAAGTATTAAATGAATTATAATAAGAAGTTGTGCAATTAAAATAAGAAAATGAAGATATTTATCATAAATATATGGAAGTCTCTGAATTAAATAATAAATTAACTTAATAACATAAATAAGAAATAAACATTCTAACATATTAATTAAATATGGCCAAAGTTGAATTCAATGATTATAAATAAAATTAAGAGGCTTTGAGTACTTTAGAGAATGCTACTGGAAGTCTTAGAGATGTGGAACTTAATCTCAAAGATACAAATAAGATTCTCAATAAAATTGAAGAAAATATTAGCAATAGAGATACTTAATTATATTAGACATTAAAGTCTGTTGTTTAATAACATAAAATGGATAAGGATAGTTAAATGAATAAGGCATAGAAACTCATTAATCGTTATTAACTAAAATCCTTAAATACCAAATAATGTATTATTGCTTCTGAATATTTCAATCATCCTTTTATTTAACATTTAGATATCAATTTTTAATAAAATTAATATGATGAAAAATATATTTAATCATTACTTATTGATTGGTTTAATTAGGAATGTGTCAAATAATAATTTGGTACTCATCCTGCTTAGTAGAGATTAGAATAAATAAGTTCTTATGAAAGAAAAAGTAATCCAGAAAGTTTTATTAATTTCTTAATAAAAAATGAAAATCTTAATCAATTATAAAACTGCATTAGTTATATAAGTTAGAACTTAGAAATGAGTGATCTAAATTAATTAAATAAAGTAGATAAATTTAATAGATAATTGTGTATATTTTTTGGTGTTATTTTTCAATTTGATATAAACAATATTGAAATTGATTTATTAACATATGATAGGATTAGATTTTTATATTCAGGTCTTATGTAATCAAATTAAGAAGAACTAATATAAAATTAAAATAAATTCTAATGGTACAATTTTGTAATTTAAAATCTAAGTGAATTATGTGTTTCAATTTTTTCAGATTATTCAGAAAAAGTAGGGAACTCATAATAAACAATAGTTTAAATTTTAATATATATCATGTAAAATGAAAGTGATAAAAGAAAGCATCAATTAAAAAGATTGATAGATGATTTTAAAATTGTAGATATTGAGTTAAATTTATAAAGAGAAAGAATGTTAAAATTTGTTTAAGAGTTATGCTCATTTTATAATTATCAATATAATGAATTACAAATAATGTAATATGCTTAGGCTTTATTTGATCGTTATATTAGAGTTTATTAAACAGGTAGAAAGAGAAATGGTTTAGAAATTGGAGAGTGGATAAGCTTCATTTAAGAATTATAGTAAATATTGAATAAAATGATTTAAATTAAACCTCATCTACACCATCAAATCTTTATGCTTGAAGATCTTCAATATGTGAATAAGGAATTTTAAGTACATACTCGAACTTCATAGATTGAAAGAAAGGAATCATAGATAAGAAAAAAATGAATAAACAATTTAATCAATCAAATATTATAATATGAATTTTTTTCATTTCATTTTTTTAAATGGTTTATAACGGAAAAAATAATACCCAGCAGTTGTTAGACTTACTAAAAGGGTTATTCCTCCTGTTAATGAAATTATAGAGAAACTATTTTTTTATTTTAATTATTAAATTTAAAGATTGGAATACCCATAAGACCTTAAGATATTTAGATAATTTACTAGGAATGCAAAATGTCAACAAGGTTGGAGATTTACGTCCAAACTGAAATATTATCATCATAAAAAGTCATAGGAATAAGTTATGCTGTTTAAAAACTACAAGATTTTTCAATCATCAAAAAATCAATTATGTTTAAACTTCTTTCAATTAATTATTCAGCTTATTATTCATCATAAATGCTAATCACATAAGTTTTAGAATTTATTGTTGTAATTCTTGGTGATAAATTATTAAATTATTCTTCTAAAATTTTCTAAATTACATAAAGGATGAGTTACTTTTTTATTTTTTGTAATAATAACAAAATGAAAAACTTTTCTCTCTATAATTTTTTTAACAGAAGACCAAGAATCCTTTTTATTTTGTTCTTTGAAAGCATCAGACATTTTAATATCAATTCCAATATAATTCATTAATTTATATGTATCTTTATAATTAAAAAAGGAGAATGCACTAAAAATAATAGTATTAAAATATTATACTTCCATAATGATAACCATTAAGTTAAAGTTATTTACTGTGATTATGGATGATATTATTATAAGAGTGGAAAACTTGTTTAATACGTTACAGGATAGAAGATATAATCAAATTAAGTTGGAGTAATAATTTAACCTTGTAATTCAAAAATAGATTTTAGTTCTTATAGAGCCATTTCACTAAGTTCAACAGTTTATCCAGCTTCTTAATCGAATATAATTCTAAAATTTATAATAATTATTATACTCATCTTAAAATAAATATTCTTCAAGTGTTAAATCATCTTTATAATGAAAAAAACGAAGAATGGTCCAACTGATTTAAATTTTCATTAATTCAATGCCTCTTTTTTGTAAAGCCATAAAGCCTTGGAGAGTAATAAATTTTTTTTTATTAGAATCATCTTTTAATTCTTCTTCAATCATATCTTTAATTCCTGCTATGTCACTTTAATCTAGATTCCTTTTGAATACTTGTTTTTAAAATCGTTATAATTCTTGATCACTCCATACACCATCTCCATCTCGATCACAAATACGAAATATATGAGTCAATGCTTTTTTAAAACCTTCTGTAAGTGCCTTATTTACAAGACTATATAAAGGAGCCAAAGGGTATAAATAAGATCTTTAAGCACAATTAATTACATCCTAAACACTCTAAAATTAATTTGATGAACATTCTATTCCCATTTCAACTTACTATATTATATAGATGTATTACACTAAAATCCTTGACCAATTATTTAATGACTTTAAAGATTCTACAATAATCTCTATTATCCTCAACACCCATTAAATCAAGTTTATTACCTACAATAATAATAGGTTATTTAAGTTCTTTTTCTTTCAATCCTTTAAGCCAAAATTTTTATAATCTTTCACATGAACAATTATCATCTATTGAATACATTAAAAGTATAATATCTGCTATTTTAACTTATTCTGGAATTTAATTAGCTTAACATTTTGTATCAATCAAAGTTGTATTGCATTCTGGATGATTAAACATTTCTGGAGGTAATTGAATAGGCTAATGTTTTTCAACATGAGTCAGTTTATTTATATTTTCATTAATTAGAGCTGAAATAAATGTTGATTTGCCAACTCCACCTATATAAATTTAATATTATTTAATACTATCTCCAATTAAAACAACTTTGAAATCGCTTTTCTTCATTTTAGTAATTCTCAATTAATATTTTTTATTTTTATGAATTTAGAATACCCATGGGATGTATAGAAAATTAAATTTAAGAATATTTAAGTTTTTAGAAGTCATTAAAAAGATGTAATTTGATAGCATAAAATTACCTAGAAATATATATTAATTGGCAACCATACACTAACATAATAATTTTGCATTCTATATCTAAACATTTTAAAAGGACCAGATCTTTATTAAAAAGAACTTAAATAATATATTTATGAAGAAGAACGATCCTTTGAAAGTTTAGAAGATGCAAAATAATACTTAAATAAATATAATTTAACATATTTATATACAGTATCAGGAATAATTGGATTTATAAAATTTGTGTAAGGATATTATGTTATGTTCATTAAGAGATGTAAATCAATAGCAAAATTGGGAAAACATAAGATCTTTACAATAGAAGAACGATCAATAGTAGAACTATTTGATGGACAATATTCTTAAGTAGAATCAAAATATAAGAAATTATTCTAAGATTATGATTTAGAAATAGGATTCTATAGTAGTTATACTTATGATGTGACAAGTTCATTATCTAAAAATATAATTCCATCAGAAGATGTTTAAAATAAGAATTAAAAATATCATTAAATAGGATAGTATCGAAATTTATTTATGTGGAATCATTATCTTTTAACAGAGTTTGATAAAATCATAAAAGATAAAAGATGGGTGATTCCAATAATTCATGGTTATTGTGAATAAAGTACAATAAAAACAGTTGCAAATTATTTTAGTATAACTTTATTAGCTAGAAGATCAATAAAACATGCAGGTGCTCGTTATTTAACAAGAGGTATAAATGAATAAGGTTATGTTGCAAATTTTGTAGAGACAGAATAAATAGTTATAGAATTAGATAAATCAACATGTTAAAGACCTGCTTGTTCTTCATTTATATAAATTAGAGGTTCTGCTCCTGTTTATTGGTATTAAGAACCAAAAATGTATTTATTTAAATTACCAATAAAAATACATCAAAGTGACCCTTATTTATATGCAACTAAGAAACATATATGTGATTTGATTTCTTCATATGGTAGATCAATATATATGGTTAATTTGGTTAAACAGAATGAACATAATAAAAGAGAACAAGTACTTGCTGAAGAATATTTTGCAGCTATTAATACTGTTAAGGAAGAAATGTAGAATTAAACAGAAATAGAACTAGGATATTTGGGTTTTGATATGAAAGCATAACTAAAATAAGATAAGGAAGAATTTGTAAATAAATGTTATTCATTAGCATATTATTGTATTATGAAAACTGGAGTATTTCTATTTGTAAAAGAACCTAAATGTAATGAAAATGTTATTATTGAAATATAAAATGGAGTTGTTAGATCAAATTGTGTAGATTGTTTAGATCGTACAAATGCATTTTAGTAATTGATTGGTGAAATGGCACTTGGTATTTAATTAGCTAAAATTAATCAAAGTAGTTTAAAATTTAATTTACTTTTATTAAATGAATCTATTTTATAAGAATTTAGAGAGATGTATGAATAATTAGGTGACTTTGTCTCATAATAATATGGTAGTTCTTTAGCACATAAATAAAATATAGGTCAGAAATCTAAGAGAATAGAATTATTCACTTCACTTAAAAGACATTATAATAATAATATTGAAGATCCTTAAAAATAATATTAAATTGATTTATTTTTAGGAATTAATCGTCCTACTCCTGGACCATTTATTGAAGAATAAATGAATATTTGGCTATTTCCAGATACTAAATATTTATAGTAATATACTTAACATAAATAATGGTGGGTTAATCCTTACTTAGAATTTTAATAGAAATCACTTATTGATGAAATAAGCAGAAGATGCAAAGAAGCTTGTTAATAAGCTAAAAAAGATTTAAAAACAAAGATTGAAAGAAAATAAACAATATTTAATTTTGATATCATTGAGAAAATGAAATATAAAACAAATTAAAAATTAAAAGGTAAAAATGTTTTTATTTTATCTTCTCCTTATACAAAAGTTAGAGAAAAACCTTAAAATTATATATCAAAACCTTTTAATTTAGAAGAAAAACTTAAGAAACCTTATTATGATGTTATTTTAATATATGAGACTGATTAAAAAAATGATTCTTCATGTGAATCAAATTAATCTTCACCAAAAATGAATTTTTAAAATTAAAAAACTAGATTCTCACTTTTAAAAGGAGATGAAATTCTTGAAATATAATAGTATACTAGAATTAAATCATTTGAAGAATTAACTGATGAAGCAAATTAAATAAGAAAATATTTAAAATATAATCTTTCCTCTGATGATGAAGAAAAACTAAGAAACAACTTAAAGAGATACTTAAATGGTGAATAACCTAAAGAATCAGTTGTTCCAATAGATAAAAATCCAGATATTTAAAAATAATATAATGAAGTGAAATAATCTATTGTTCATTCAGAAATAGTCTAAGGTGTATCAATATAGTAAACTAAAAAGATACCAGTTGAATAGAAATCTGTCAAATTTTTAGAATCGTTGCTAAAAAAGAATTTTGCTTAATCGCAGAAGCTAAAAATTAATAAAATATGAATAATATGATTATAAAATACAACGAACTTAGAGTTTCTATCACTCCAAAAACCTAGACCAGTCTTAACAGTCCTGTCAGAAAGTAATGAGAGTTTCCTATGATAGTACATAACCAATTTTTATAACGTCTCCAAAAAAACAATTGTCTAGCATTAAGGAAATCACTAATAAGTAATAGGAATTAAATAAGCTTCTCAATTAGAATGTTGATATTTAAACTTAATCTGCTAATACTTCAATGCATTCATTTGATTGTATGACGGCTCAATCTAAATTTAGAAGAAAATAAATACAAGCTGATTATAGTTCAAAATTAATTTCCTTAGACGATGAAATTGTAGAAGTCTATAATGAATTTGAGAAGAATTACAAATAAATAAATGATTTAGATAAATTATAATAAACTCAATAAACTAGTAATCGATTTATTGATGTGAGTAGAAAAAGCATCAGTAATTTAATTTAAACACATGATGGTCTAATTTAATCAGATCTAAAGTTTGGAAATATGAACAGAATAAGAATTAATAGATTCAAATTTTATTATTTTCGTATTAAACTTAGAGGCAAAGTTTCCCCTATTTAAGTATTCTTTAATATTCCTGAAAGAGTATAGAGTTCAGCTTTAAAAATGTTTTTATCAACTAAAGCAGAATTTCCAACTAAATTTAATGCAGAATACATTCTTCACTCTCGATTTGCTAAAATCTTTTCTGAAAGAAACTAACATTATTTTACTGAAGAATATCTTTTTATTACAATTTATTCAGAAGTTGATTTTGAATTCTCCATAACATTCTAGTTTGGAAATTACTAAATTACAAAATCACCTCCCAAATAAATAATAGAAACTTTAGATTAAATTTAACCAAATAGTTCTCCTACTTAAAAGAATTTGCCTAATGATAAAATTTTATAAAATCTTTCTTTAACTCAATATCATGGAAGTTAAAAGTTAAATAAAATATTATCAGTTTAGTCAGAAAGAACTCATAAATAAAAAATGGCTAAATCTTTAAGATAATCAATGTTAGAAGATAAATAAATAGAAAAGAAATCTAAATTACTTGTTAAAGATTAAATTCTTCATTTTAGAGAAGTAGAAAGATAGATCAAATAAAAAAAAATGTAAATGTAATTTGCTTAATAAAACTGGTTTCAAATTTTTAGTTTACTTCTCATTACTGAATATGTTTCTAATTCCTTGTAAGAATAAAAAAGAAAATAAAAAATTGCAGCCAAAGGAAAACTATTAGTATGGGCTATGAAAACTAAAGCTTTATTAGATGTCAAAGAATATGGAGATAGTGCAAAAGAAAGAACAATTTTTAAGACTAGATGTGTAATATAAAGTTTTGCTAGTATGATTAGGGAGAAATCAAAAATCAAAGCAAAATTTGTTATTACTAAATTTATGGGACGCATTCTTTTATTTCTAACTATTCTTAATAAACATTAAAGTACTCTTAATAAAGGTAATTATTATTTTTATTAATAGTTATTTTTATTTAAAGAAAATTTCGTTTACTAAAAGCTAAGAAGAGACGATTTAGAGACAGATTTTGGAAATTAATAAAAGAAAATGTAGCAGATATTATATATGATCTAAGAAGATAAAAAGAAACTTAATTTTTCTTTGATAAATAACACGTAAATATTGATATGTATATGATAATGAAATATTTAGACCTATAATGAATATAGTCATAGATGAATATTGTAAAAAACAAAGGATTTTATGGATGGCATATGTTCAACACACATTTTTAGAAAAAGATTAAAAGAGAGTAAAAAAATAAATCTATTTATTATATAGAAAATCCATGAATATGCCAAAAACTTAAAGGAGCCAAAGATATACGATTTGCCAAATAGAAACGAGTTAATTCCACTTATAGAGTAATATGCAAAATTGAAAAAAATACTATGACTATAAATAATTTATTTTAATGGGAAATGCATGTTAAGCGACATAAATTACTCTTAACACAGAAATTAGTGATGAATCTACAAGACCTCAAGTAATAATGGAAACGACTGATAGAGTTATATTTAAAGAAATTTACAAAAAAGAAAAAGTTGAACTTCCCGATAATTCATATTAATCACCTCTTCTGACACATCTTCCTTTAATTAATCTGGACTTAATTGAACCAGATTAATTTTTTCCTTAAATAAAATCAAACAGAAGAACTTTAAGTTTCGTTAATTAGAATAGTAGAACACCTTCTCATAAACTTGATTCTGATACAATATCATTAACTAAATAACCACTCAAGTCTTCATTAAAATCATTCAATTCTAGAAAAGGTAGCTCTAATAAAAGTCCAAAGTCAGTTAGATGGGATAGTGATTTAAATGTTTTCCTCAATATAACTTGCTATCAAAATTAGTAAATATGAAAGTAATTTTTTATATATTATATTATGGACGAAAATCAAAAAGCATTCTATTACTTCTCTTATAAGTCATAGTTGTAATAATCTAATTCAATTCTTTAGGGCTGCACAATCAACTAGAAGTTAAATATCATTCTCATAAAGTCATGAATAAGTTTCAATGGCATTTTAATCTAGAATTAAGATTTAGAACAGAGATCTTAATTCATTGAAGAGAAAACTTAGTCCTGCAGAGTTAATCCCATTAGATGAAGAAATCTTAGAACTTTACGATGATTATTCTAGAAATTATCAACTATTGGGACACGTTAATTAAATTGAATTCTCTTCATAAAAATTCAATCCTATTGATATAATTCTAACACCACCTATTAAATCAGTCAAAAGTGCTAGATCATTTGATTCAGAAGAGTTATTTTGTGAATAGAAGAATAAATTAATCATTCTAAGATTAAAATTTTATTATTTTCGTCTTAAAATTAAGGGGAAACTCTCTCCATTGTAATTATGTTTTAATTTTATGGAGAGAGTTGTAGGACTTAAAATTTATTTATCTACAAAAGCAGAATTCCCTTCATCTTTTAATGCTGATTAATTTGTTTAATCAAAATATGCTACCTTAACAAGTGCTAATGGATATAAGAAATTTCATGAAAATTATTTATATATATCTCTTTATTGCGAAACTGATACAAGACTAGTAATTTAGATTTAATTTGGAAAAAATCCATTAAATTAAACAGAAAATGCATCAAGAAAAATAAAGACTGAGATGAATGAGTATTTACCAGAAACATAGGTTGAAGAAATTTAACCTAAAAAAAATAATTTTATCAATAAAGATAAAATTACAAGAAATTTAAATGTTACTCAAAATTGCATTGATAAAAAATTTAAGTTTTTATTTGACTTACAAGTATGTCTAATTATCTAAATAGTCTGAAAGAATAACTAAGTAAAAAAGTGCTTTATAAAATAAGTAAATAGTATCTAGGGAATTTAAATTATAAAAACTTTTGAAATTCTAAGCAAGACAACTTATACCAGAATATAGAAAATATGAGAGAAATTTTAAACAAAAACATAGTGTTTTATAACATACTTAAATAAATTGGTTTTAAACAGTATTTGTTCTTTAATTAACAGTTTCTTTGTATCAATGTCTTAATGAAATCAAAAAAAGATATCATATAAGAGCCTCAGGAATGCTTCTAGCTTGGAGATGGAAAATTAATTTTTTCTTGATAATAAAAAGAAATGGAAATACCATACAAGAGAGAAGCATTCACTAATCAAAATTGGTTTTGCAAACCTACACAAAATTTATCAAAAATACAATAGAGAGTAAAGCAGCTTAAGTATTACAATCTGTTTTAAACTAAACCTTTCCAGTAATTTCTTTAAAAAATAGAATACTTAAAGTGAGATCATTAGTTTTAAATGTATAAGTTAAATTCAAATGGTTAAAAACATAAAAAAGATTGTTTTTTGATAGATTTTGGAAAAATATTAATTAAGTTTATTTTTAAATTTTAAGTGAACTTTAAAATAAAACAAAATAAAGCTTGGAAAAACCAGCATAGTTGAAACGATCTTCAATTTATTTAATTGATACGTATTCTATGATAATTAATGAAAATAGAAATGCAATGATTCCCTTAATTGAAACATACCTTTTGTAAATCAAAAAAAATTGGCTAGATTACATTCATATAAAAAGAATTAAACGATACTCTGTATATTCTCTTTAATTTCCATCATAATTTGATAAATTAAAAGCAGTTGCATTTTAGATTAAAGAACCTAAGCTATTTCGTGATCCATCAATTGATGATTTAACATATATAATTGAATAGTATGCTTTGTATAAAAACTTATTATGAATACTTATTTATTTATTTTATGATAGCCCAATCAACAGTATTTAAGAGTCAAAAATAAAGGCAAATAACAACAACACCAAGTAATAATACATATTTTCTTAATTCTTAAAGAAAAATAAAGTAGATTGTAAAATTATTTTAAGCTTCTTCACTACAAGCAGTCTTTAATCAATTTCTTATATTCATACAAGCTAAGTTTTAAATTAAACTCCAACTCTAAACGAAGTAAAATAAGTTATAAAAGAGCATAATCAGATTTAAACCATATCTCCTTCTTTCATGGAGCTTTATGATGAATTTGAGAATAATTACAAGATTGTTTAGAAAATCAAAACTGATCTTAATATTTCAATAGATATGAAATAGGATGAAAAACTAGAATAAAGTTAGATTAAATCTTAAAATTCAATAAAGAATATCTCTTAAGCATAAACAAAAATTGCAAACTTGTAGTTTTGTGATATTGATTAAGAATTGAATTAGAGATTACATACAAATCGCTTTAAATTTTATTATTTTCGAGCATCCATATCGAAATAACAATCTCCTCTATTACTAACTATATAATTTGAAAATCAAATAAATTCTGCATAATATAAATTATATCTTTCTACTTAGCATGAATTTCCGACTAAATTTAATGCAGAACATAATCTCACTTCAAATTTTTGTAAAATCTATACAAATGGTCATGAAAATATGTTTATAGAAAACTATCTTTATATAACATTTTACTCAGAAATTGATGTTATTTTAAGAATAAAAATAGTCTTTGGATTGGTTTAATTTAATAAATCCCCAAAGAAGTAAATAATTAGGAAAGAATATCCAAAATTTCCTGGTTTAATAGCAAATACAAAAATGGATTTAATAAAAAGAAACCTTGATACAAGTTAATTTTAATTGACAAGAAGAACTGATTTATTAGCAGTATTGCTTGTATTATAAATAAATTATAAAATAGAGTGAAAGGGAATAGAAAAGAAAATAAGTTTTGTAAAAAAAATAAGAGATAGATAGTGAATAAAAAATTAAGTTAAAAACTTAATATAGTGCATAAATGTTGAGAAATAATTATAGATTATTTGAAAAAGTTTATAAGTTAAAATTAAATAAAAAAATTTAGGGAGAATTATTTTGGGCTTAGCTTTTCAATTTGATTAAGTTTCTAGCTTAGCTTAAAATTAAATTAATAGTAAATATATTATAAAATATTTAGCAATTTAAAGGAAAGATAAGTATTAAGGCAAATGGAAGAATTAAAGCTTTAAGATGTGGATTAAATTTATTGATTAATATTAGAAAGTTTGGACCTACACCAGAGAGAAGATCATTTTGTAAAAGTTTGATGGCAATATAAATGTTTACAACTTAAATTCTATTTTTAAGAAAAAAGAAGGCTCAAGCAATTGCTACTTCATTTATTAAAGAATGTATTTCAATTATACATTTAGGACATAGATTACTGAAAACAAGACATTATGGTAATAATATTTATGTAAATAGTAATAATATTGTAAAACAAATTCAGATTCTTTTAAAGATAAAAGAAAAAGTATTATGAAGAATTTTGGCAATTAGTGATTAAAAACTATAAAGAAATTATAAGAAGTTTAAGTCAAAATTAAAATAATCAAAAAACAAGAAGATGTTAAAAATAAATCTATACTTTTTAAATAGATAATCAAATAATGCAATGCTAAATTGATAATTATTATTAAAGACAAAAATAGATATGGTTAGCTTTTATACGCTAAAAGATTCATGATAAACAACTCACTGTTTATTTAAATGATAGAAAAAGTGATGAAATTAGAAAAGCTTTGATAAAGTTTTAAGAGCCCAAATTGTTCTAACTTCCACAAATTAATGAAATAGCGGAAATAATTGAGCTTTATGCAAAAAATAAAAAAGTGATTTGAGAATATGATGATATATTAAATATGATAAACTCAGATTAAATAAGAAAATCAAGTTCCCAAAGAGCAACTTTAAGCACAATGTAGAATCAAAGATTTTACTGTGGTTAAAAATTAAAGACATCTAATAAAGAATTCTTAAAAAGTTATCGAAGTTAAGTTTCATTCTCTGAAATGTATGATAGTAATTCTAGAGTGAGTAATTTATTTGAAAAAATTAAAACTCAAAATACAAATATTCGCTAATAGGAGAATAACCTTTTTTTCAAAGTTGAAGGAGCCATATTAGAATTATATAACTAATATGAGCAAAATTATCAAGGTCTTGGATCGCTTGACAAAATTAATTCAGTTTAAGAAAATTTATTAGTCGAATTCAAAAAATAAAATAATTAACTTATCAAGACTTTTGATGGATTAAAGTTATCAGATTTAGATTAAAATGGAGTTAATCAAATATAAATTGATCGATACTAATTTTATTATTTCAGATTAAGAATTTTAGAAAAACCTACTCCTATTCATATTCACTTATAACTACCAGAATCATTATCATTTTTATTGTTTAAATTGATGCTATCTGTAAAAATTGAATTTCCTACTAAATTCAATGCTGATTAAATAATCTAAAGTAATTATGCAAAAGTTTATTCAAGTAATCCTTAAGCCCATTATTTTAAAGAGGAATTTCTCTATCTAACATTTTATTCTCATGTTGATTTCATTTTAAAATTAACTGTGCATTTTGGATAATTAAATGCTGAAAAAACCCCATCTCGACGAAATGAATCCAGATCTCCTAATTTAATGATGGCTCAAAGTGAAAATATAAAATTTATTCATTCTCCTGAAAGAAGGATAGATAAAAAAGGAATCAAATTAAATACATATTAATCATCAATGGAAAGAGAAACAGAAACTAGTAGAGTTTAAACTGAAAATTCTGATAAAAGAAAATTTATTAAAATAAAACCAGTTCAATCTAAGTTGAGCACTCTATTAATATAAATTGGAAAAGAATTTACAGGTTTAACTAAAGAAGAAAGATTAAAAAAGATTGAAGAGCTTTAAACATAAAAAAGAATAGAATTAGAAAAAGATTATGAAATTAAATAAAAAACTTTTTTTTATGTATTAGAAAAAAGAAAATTATAAATTGAGTAGAATTCAATAATAAAAAAACAAAAAATTTAACTAGTTTAGAAAAACAAAAAAAATACTTTTAGAGAAAGATAATAATTTTTTAGAGATAAGATTTTAGTTTAATAATAAATTTCTTAATTTAGAGAGATAGAACGTTCTTTTAGTATTAGAAAAGCTTATGCTTATAAATTATCATTAAGTTGGGGTAAAATAATAAAATCCATTCTTATTTTTGATATTTTGTATACTCTTATAAAAGTAAATGATGATTTTAAATTTTTAGGATAGTAAAAAAAAATAGAAAGTTTAAGCTAGAGGTAAATTATTAGTTTGGACTATTAAAACAAAAGCATTAATTTAGGCAAAAGAATATGGCTACACAACCAAAGAAAGAACAATTACAAAATGTTGTATAGTTTTAAAAATGGTAGCTTTCAATTTAAAAAAAAAAATAAAAATATAATCCTAAGCAATTTTGGTTAAATATTTTATTTAAATGAAATTGGCAGTAACTATAGTCCATTAGCATGATAAGACAATAAAAAAAAGTAGTATAAATTTTTAATTTTAGTAATCTAGATCCAAAGGAATTTTAGAACTTTAAAATAAAAAAAATTAACTTACAAAGATAAATTTTCTAAGCTTATTAAAGATAATATTAATTAAATTATTGATGAATTGTAAAGATAATATGGAAAAAAAACATTTTATGATATAAACGATAAACCAATATAATAGCTAGATATGTATCAAATAATTTCATTATTTAAGAATCTGCGTAAATTAATTGATTGACGAATATTAAAAATAAAAAAAGCAGATATGGTGTGAATATATTAACAACAAATTTTTTGAAAAAGATTTCCATAAAGTATGATATAATTAATAATTAGAAAATGAAAGATTTTGCTATAAATTTGAAAGAACCTTAATTATATGAACTTCCTAAAAGAAAAGAATTGATATCAATAATTGAAAAATACGGTAAGATTAAAAAATTACTTTGATTATATATAATTTATGATAAAAAATAGATTACTTTAAAGAAGTTCTTCAAAGTTAACTTAGTCTTAAACATCCTTAATGAACCAATCAATGACTATGTATTAAATAAATCAATATTTATAGAGTAAATAGTCTTAGAAAATAATCATCGATACTTTCTTTAGATAAGTAAACTGAAGATAATGGAACTTCAAAACTAATGAAAAAGATTTCTATGAAATAGACTCATGGAAGTATGGATGATATTTCAAGATTGCTGCCTTTAAATGATAATCTAATAAATGTTTATAATGATTTTGAAGATAATTTTAGAGTTGTTAGAGAATCAAACAAATTCAAATATGAAGTATCTTAAACAAGTAAATAAGAAATAATCTAAATTAATAATTCTCATATCTTAAAAACTGCAGATGGTTTACATTTGTGCGATTTAAATCCTGAAAAACTAAATCGAATATAAATTTATAGATTTAAGTTTTATTATTTTAGAGCTAGAGTGAAAAATAAACTCAACCCCTTATAAATTTATTTTACATTACCTGATAAAACATAGAATTACATTTATAAAGTGTTTTTATCAACAAGTGTTGAATTTCCAACAAAATTTAATTGTGAACAATCTACATCTAGTAGATCTATAAAAATTAAAACTAAATCAGGAACTAAATTTTTTATTGAAGACTATCTATATATGACTTTTTATGCTGAATCAGATTTCGTTATAAGTATTCATTTAGTATTTGGAGAATTTCATAATTCATTTTTAAGTGCTAAATAATAGGAGCCTTAAAAATATTTTAAATATTGGGATGATGATAAAAAAAATATATCGCCAAAAAAAGATAAAATTCTGTAAAACTTAGATCAATCTCGATTTAAAAGTACTTAAAAGCTAAAAGAATTTTTAAAAGGAGCAGGTAATATATAAATAATTTATTTTATTTAGAGGTAAGTGCAAAAAAGATAATTTCAGTTGTTTAAAGAGGAAAATTAATTGAAAAAGAAAAATAAGAAGAAAGAAGTATTAAAATGTTAGTAAAATCATAAATTTAAGAATTTCGAAAAGTTGAAAAAAGTATATTATAATAAAAATTCGAGAGATAAAATTAATGTGAATATTGGGAATAAATAATTTCTTTAATGATACTGAATAGATAGCTGTACAATATTCTAAATGTAAAAAGTAGTAAATATTTAGGAAATGAAAAGAAGACTAAGAATATAAGCAAAAGCTAAATTAATAGTTTTAAGAATAAGAACTAAGTTGTTTATAGAAGTATAATAATATGGATAGAATCCTTTTGATAGATGTAGCAATAAATGTTTAATTTTGTTAAAGATGATAAGTGGACAGTTATAAAGTCATTCTAAAATACGAGCATAAAAAATAGTAACTAATTTCATGAAAAAGACACTTTTATTTTAAACAGCTTTAATAGCTCATCATAAAATGGTCTCTAAATGTATAATATTTTATAATGTAGTAAGAATGATTGTTAAAGCATTTAAAGCTAAAAAATTTTAGAAACGTGCATTTAAAGATAGATTTTGGAGATTAATAAAAAGTTATTTTGGTCAAAGCAATGGGCCTTAATTATTTGCTACTTCTTAAATAAAAACAATACAAATAGATAAACCACTTATGTCAAAAATGATAGAATAATATATACAAAATAGAAAATAATAATGGTGTTAATAAAATAAATAAAATAAAAACTATGATAAATAAGACAATAATAAGCAAGACAATAATATATAGTAAATATAAATATTTTAATTGCCAAATGACAGAGAATTACAAAAATTAATGAAGGATTATTAAATTTAAAAAAAGTTCAACTGAGATGATGATTATTTATAAATAATAATATTTTTCTACTAAGGAGTATAAAAAGAGTAATATACAATTCTAAGACTTCCTAATTCTGAAAAATGAACTATTTATTCAGAATTTAGAAAGTTTAAAATGTAATAATTTAATGAATAATACATCAATTCTTTTCAAAACTTTAAAGGTTGGTGAATTGAGTCTTCCTAATAGAATAGTAATGGCTGCAATGACAAGAATGAGATGTGATAATAACACAAAAGTTCCTAATAATATGGTTTCAGATTATTATTCATAAAGAGCATCTGCTGGACTGATATTAACTGAATGTACATTAATTAGTCAAAGATCTAATGCATTTCCTGGATGTCCAGGAATTTTAAATGAAGAATAAGTAGAAGGATGGAAAAAAGTTATAGAATCTGTACATAAAAAGAATGGAAGAATAGCTTTATAAATATGGCATAGTGGAAGGGCAACTCATTCAAATTTATAGAATGGTTTAATTCCTTGGGCACCATCCCCAATTGCTATAAATGGATTAAATTATGCTGTTTAATAACCTCATGAAATACCTCATGAAATGACAATTGAAGATATCAAATTAGTGATATAATAATTTAAAGAAGGAGCTTATAGAGCCAAAAAAGCTGGATTTGATGCAATAGAATTACATGGAGCAAATGGCTATTTAGTAGATTAATTCTTAAGAAGTCATTCAAATAGAAGAAATGATCAATATGGTGGATCAGTTGAAAATAGGTCTAGATTTTGTCTAGAAATTATAGATGAATTAGTATAAGTATTTGGTAAAGGTAGAGTTGGTATTAAAGTAAGTCCAACAGGTAGGTATAATGACATGCTAGATGAAGATCCAATTAAACTTTATTCATATTTATTCAAAGAATTAGATAAGCGTTAAATTGCATTTATAGAAATTATGAATAGTAAAGATGCTGATAATTGTTATGGACATGGACATCCAGCATCTGAAAAATAAGTTCCTAATCTATTATAATAATTAAGACCATTTTTTAAAGGTGTAATTATAGGAAATGTAGGATTGACAGCATAATTAGCTGCCTAAGGAATAGAACAAGGACTTTTTGATGCAGCAAGCTTCGGAACTTTATATATTGGAAGTAATATATATATTTATAGAATTAGACCCTGATCTAGTTGAGAGATTTAAAGATAATCTCAAATTATCTGATTCTGATTCTAAAAAATATTTTGGTGGAAATCACGAAGGTTATTCTGATTATCCATTTTATCAAGGATGAGAATGATAATTATTGTTATATCGTAAATATCAAAAATTTAAAAACCTTAATATGTTCTTAGAAATTGTGTTGAGTTTATATAATGATACTAATCAATTATTTGTTGCCTTTTGTTATGCTTCATTCTTTTTATTTGAATATCTTTGAATATATCCGAAATCAGGTTTTTATCCTTTTTATTTGCAATATTTTATGAATGTTGATTCCCCAGGATCAGAAATAATTTTTTGAATGTAATTTTTGGATTAGAATTCAGTATAAACCTTCAAAATAATTCGATCATTCTCAAAAATTTTCACTTTCTCAATAGAAGAAAGTATTGTTTCTGCTGTTTAAACAACTTTAGGACTTTTAAATACAATTTTCTAATTTTGTGGTAATTTATCTCTACTTTTACAGTCAATGGTCTTATAATGTATTATTATTTAACTTGTTTTACTCTAATTGATTGAATTCTTCTAAAACAAATATAAAGTTTCCTTTAAAAATACTGATATGTAAGGCTTCAAAGATATAAAAAAAGGTTTATAAATTATTTCTTCTATATATTATGCTTTTTCTTTCGTATCTGTAACAAGAGATTCCAAATGGTATTTTAACAATCTATCTGGCAATACTATAATAAAATGTTTTTCTTGAATATTAATAGAGATTATTTTTTTAAAATGTTCTAATTCTATGCGTTCCTTTTATATACTTGGAATTTCAATTATACTTTATGAATCTAGATGGCTTCTTTCATCTAGTTATTTTTGAATAAATGATGCATCCGCAAAATGAATCTCCATTTCATTTGTAAACTCATTGAGTCTTGTTATAATGAATTTATTAAGATCTAAATGATGAATAATAGTCTCTGAAAAATCAAATATCTTAAGTCTTTTCCCTCCTAATCTATAATCTGTAAAAAACTTAAATCTCATTGTCCTGCTTGGATCTGAAGGAGAAGCCACTTAATAGGTTTTCGTTGCTATGTCCTTGATCATTATTTTATACATTATATATAAATATGTTTAAAAATATTGATAAAAATATTCTATTAATGATCTCCTCATGATAGTAGCTGATACTTATCCATTAAAACTGTAGTAGCTGATTATGAAATTTATAGTCTTTAACCGTAAGTATGGAATACCATAATCTGATAAAAAAAAACCTTTAAATATATAAAATATTCTTAATCATTATAATCTGTTACCTATCAAATTCATCTTTTTTATCAATCAAGATAGATTCATAGATTCTATTATATATTTTTGGAACTTATTAAGATTTATTTAACGGATCAAATAATTAAAAGTAATTCTTGATTGAAATTAAATAGAATGCCTCATAGTCAATTAAACTCACTTTATTAAAACAACACTAAAATATCTAGTTTAAGCTTTAAATCTCTTAATTTAATCCATTCCTAAAGGCTGAGTCTATTCAGCTTTGCATTTAAAAAAATAATAATAATATGAATTTCAATTTCATAATTGTAAAAAAAAAATAGAAATAATACATTTAAATATGAACAACTTATTTATAAATATTTTAACTTCTATTGTTGAACTTTTTGAATTCTAGCATCTATACATATAAAAATGTATTGATAATGAATCTAAATAAATATTTACCATTTATGAAAGAATTAATATTAACTCACCTTTAATATTGTATTAAACTTCCTTTTTCTTAGATATGCTACAAATTCATTGATATGAAAAATTCTATAATATGTTTGATTAAATAATTTATTTAGAGTTTTCAAAAATATATTAATTTGATGACATACCTTTAATATAAATATTTTGGTATTATTTTTTCGTGGTTTTCCTCATTTTATAAGTTCTTGTTATGATTAGTCAATGAATAAATGAATTATATGATATTAGTCTTTTCAACATATCAAATATATAAAAAAAATTAATTTGCAAGATAACAAGTGTTAAGAAATTTATTAGAAAATGATTGAAAACTTTAATTCCGCTTACGTCATGTATAAATAGTCAATTTATATTTAAAATTTACGTCACCATTAAATAATATATAAGATGAGTAAAATTTTTATATTCCTCTTCATACTCTCTCTCTTTATTTCAACAGCAAACACATTAGAATCTGTTGATAAACCTAAAATTCAAGATCCCTTTACAAATAGTATAATCTAATAGATTTTGAGAAAAACATATACAGATACTAATTGTCCACCAGAACAATCAAAAACTTACTGTTCTGGTAATCAGCCATGTTGCAGAGTTGGAAGCAGATATGGATGTTGTCCATATTCATATGGAATATGTTGTGGTGATGGAACATGTGTTCCAAGTGGTGGAAGATGTTGAAAGAGCTATAATCAGTTTTTCCATTAATTTTGAATTAATTATCTGTATTTTAGTTATAATCAATTCTAAAAATTTTAGTTTTTTCTTAGTTAAGAATTTTCTATTATGTTTATTATGTTTTAGTTGATTAAAAACACATTAATATGTGACAATTAAAATAGTTTAGAAATAAAATAGATAATATTTGATCATATTTATAAATAATAAATGAATAACTAATAATAATCATTCAAAAGTTCTTTAATTTTTAGATAAGAAATTTAATCAAAATAGTTGAGAAAATTATGAGCTATCACATCTTAATCCATCTGATAACCTTAATAGCAAATCTTTTAATTTTATTTTTGTAATAGGTTTCTCAACTCCAAAAGCAATTCCACAATCTTTAAATTAATCAAAAATTTCTGACGTTAGTTTATGACCAGAACATGCTATAATTGTAACATTCTTATCTAATTTACGAATTCGTGTTGAAGCCTCTAAACCTAACATAAGAGGCATTTCTAAATCCATAAATATTAATTAAAATGGAATATTATCTTTTAATCTATCATTGACCTTTTCTATTGAAATCATTCCATTTATAGCAGAATCTGAACTAATTCCTATTAATTCTAGTAAATATTAGAGTGCTACAATATTAAATTCATTATCATCAACAATAAGAATTGGGGGATGTTATTATGTTTAATCATTCCATTTTTATAAAAGATTTTAAATTAAACGAGTTTATATAGATGGTTTATTAGATAGATTTCTTTCTGATTCATTTCTTATTCTCAAAGTAGCTTAATAATTTAAAGAACTTGTCATAAAATTAAAAGCTTTAAGATTTTTCTTTTAAATAATTCTCTTACTACTTTCTCCCATAGGAATAGCAATTGAAACTGTTGGTGATTTTTATTAAATAATACTTTACAAAAATCTTAATTCTAATGAGGGTATTTTTTAAGCTAGTTTTTATGATACTTATGAATCAGAAATGTCTTCTAAAGGTTGTTCTTCATTTTCTATTTCAAAATAAAACTTTGAACCACTTCCATATTCAGATTAAACTTAAATTCCTATTGAATGATTTTTTGATAATAATTTTGCTAATTCATTACTAATCATTAAACCTAATCCTATTCCAAAAGGATTGGCTTTCTAATTTTCTACATCATTAATTCTAGAAAATTCCTGAAAAAGATTTTTTAAATTATCTGATTTTATACCCATTCCAGAATCTTATATAGATATAATTATTGCTTTGGCTTTCTCTTCACTTTAAATACAGTCAATTAAAATAGATCCTTTGGGTTATGTATATTTTACAGCATTACTCAATAAATTCATAATAATCTATCTAATACGAAGTTTATCAGAATTTATTTTAAGTGGCAACTTTGGATCATAATTAAATGTAATATTCAATCCCTTTTTTTCTTTTAATAAATCAAAAAGTGATATTGTTTTATCAATCAATTTTGCTAAATTAAATTTACGACATACTATTCTTATTGATTTATTTTCTATTTATGCTGCATCCAATATATCGTTTATTAAATTTAATAGCAAATGACATGAATTTAATGATGGTTTTAAAAATTTTTAAAATAAAGATGGATCTATTAATTCTTATAAACACATTTGCATATTAACTATTGCATTCAATGGGTTTCTCATATCATGTGAAACTTTATGAAGCGTTTTAATCATTGTTTAAACTTAATCTTTTTATTGTTAAGATTGTTGTTTAAATGATTCTGCATTACTAAATTTATGTTTAATGATCAATATAAATTCTTAATTATCTATAATTAGTTTTTAAACACTAAGACAATAAAGGGAATTATTGGTTGGCTCAAAAATTAATTTTTAGTCTAATTTAAGAATTTTCTTTTTTAATTATTCGATTATATCGCTAATCAATAATGTAGGTTTTGTTATAATATTTTCTATACAATGAGATTACCTAACAAAATTTGTTGTTTAATCTCTAGGTGTAAACATTCTACTTTAGTTTTGTTCAGACATACTCATAACCTGTTCTTTTGCAATTTAATAAAAAAATTTAGATTCATAAACTGGATTGTATTCCATATCTAAAATACAGAATTCTTCAGATGATATATGGTATAATAGATTCTTTAAACTCATAAATGGTTGAGTTACTTTCTACTTATAAATTTGAACAATCAAAAAGAAATTCACTACTGCTCTCAAAATCTCTATTGTAATTTCTGAAATATTTCCGAAGCAAATGCATGTAATGCATGCTAAAAAGAAAATTAAACTTGTTAATTTTAAATACTATTCGTTCAGTTGAATTATCAACACAATCTGTATCCCGGCATAGATTTACCATTGCGGAATAAGAATATAAGTCACTCCTATAATTACAATCCCTTTAATCAAACACAATATCATCAAGATTATGTTAGATTTCTTTTAACACATTTACTCTAAGCAATATATAATCAAATGAAAACATGCTAAAGTCAAACCAATGACCATAAAGCTATAGTCATTTGTCATATATGTCTACATATGAATTATCAACCCATCTATTATCAAAAAGAACTGAAGAATTCTTCTTTTGTTAAATGCTTTACAAAGAGCAAGCATAATATATAATTAAATTACAAATTAAGAATAAATAATTGATTTATTGATTTTTTATACCTAGTTGATATCTTAATTATAAAATCTAATGATTATATTTTTAAATACATTTGCTTATTTTCAACTTAATTGTTAATATCAATTGATATAATAAAATTGATAATTATCATTTTTTTAAACAAGAAATCAATAAACTTAAGAAAGAAAAAAGAAAATTTGAAAAATGATGGTCCAATTTTTAGTTTTAAAACCTATTTTCATATAAAACTAATTAATTTAAATAAATTTATTAATACATATTCTCAATTTTCATATTATCATATGATTTCTATAGCAGTATAATAAATTCTGAATTGTTTGTTTTCAATTAATCACATTTCCTTTCATATCTTTGAATTTTATTAAAAAATATATTGTATATTATATGATATATATATTAATAATCAATTCTTTTTTGATTACCTTTTTGTTATAAATCTATTCAATTTCTTAAAAAATTTATCTTGCTCATATTGTAGATCTGGTTCAGATCTTACACGTAGGTTCATAATTTACAAAAATTTATCAAGCTTGCCAACTAAAAAGGCATTGATATATATTTTTAATTTTTTAAAAGTCCAATTAATGTCTGTAATAGTCTTGATATCAGAAAATACATTAACAACAATTAATTATACCTAAATTTAATATTATAATTACTGATTAAAATTATTTAATCTTATCTTCAATTAAATGTAATTGTGTAAGTCCACTCTTAAACAATAATGGAAGAGCTAAGACAATGAATTGAGTTTTTTCATTTATTTTAAAAGTACTTGATAATATTTCATTTAAATGAACACATTAAAGTTAATCCATATCAGATTTATCTTACGATATATATTTTTCAAGCATAAATAAGGTTTATTTAAAGCATGATTTAACAACTTTAAAAATTTATTTTTCTTAAATTAATTTACCAGCTAGTAAGTTTTATGTAATATAAAGAAAATCTGGTTTCATATTTTCTTCAGGAAAGAATAATTATTTAAAAGTAGCATTAGGATTAGAAAAATCAACTTTGGTTCTATTTCTCATAAATCCATCAATAGAATATAATAGATCACCAAAGTAAAGTAAAGTATTTAATTTTTCTCTTAATAATCCATTTTGTCTAGCCATGTTTTTAAGATGGTTTACAATAAAAGCAACAGAAACATGATTAGATCTATGTCCAGGTATAATCAAATCAGCTTAACTCATTAATGGTGAAATAAAATTCTCAAACGATCTTTTCACAAATTTACTATACTATTATAGTACATTTTCAACAGTTCTTCCTCTTTCTTTGACATCTCTTAAAATACGACGACATAAACGAATATCATCTAGTTTTATAATTATTATATACCATCGCAATGTATAAATATTTTATAAGACATTAAATCTCTAATTCTTTCATCATAAAGTGCCATTATTCCTTCAAATACTATAACTTGAGCAGGAAGAACTATTTAACATTAATCTAATCGTTTGTGATTAACAAAACAATAAATTGGAACAGATGCTGGTCTTCCTGACAATAATGTAGAAATCACTTCAAAGGCATTATCCCAATCTAACGAATCTGGATGATCAAAGTTATATGAAGCAATATCAATTTTAGATTTGTCTATTCCTTTATAAAAAGAATCGCAAGAAAGAATAGTCATGTCTACATCTGAATCATATTGGATCTCTCTTTTTATTGTTTCACAAAGTGTAGTTTTTCCAGCTGCTGATCCTCCTGTAACACCTACAAGTATACGTTGAGGTTCGTACTCAGAATTCTTCATTTAATATGAACACTACTTTTCTTTAAGTGATTGGCGATTTCATTTGGAAAGAATCATTAATCATGAGTTAAATTTTTAATTCAATTTAATTTTTTTATTATTTAAGAATCTCTAATGAAAGAATTTTGTTGTTCTCTTTCAAGCCATAAATTATTTTTGCATAATACATTTCAATTTCTTATTTGTAACTATATTTAAATTCTTTTTGATAACAATTTTATAAAATTACATCCTTATAATTTATTATTTTACAAAAATAAAATAATCGCTTTTTCTTTATATTTTAAACATGCTGCTGAATATACATTGTCTCATTAAAAATTAAAAAAATCCTTTAACCAATTTTTAATTAAAAATTTTCTTTATATTTAACAAGAATACATACCTCTAGTTTAAATATATTTGTATTAACATTTTTAGAGTTATTTTTAATAAAAAAATGAAATTTAAACCAATTACAAAATATTATAATATTTACAGTTAATAAATATTAAAAAAACTTCATGATATGATTTTCATAAGAAAAGAATAATAAATAAATTAATTTGTTTCTAAAACTATTAACAAAGAATGTCAAATTAAAAACAAGAGTTACTTTTGATTTAAACAACCTCATAAATATTGGTCTAAAATTTAGCAAAAGCTATTTAAATTATTATTCCTCTTAATATATTCTCTATCTCTATCTATAATTTTTTTGCTTTAATCAGCATCATATTTGTTTAGTAGAGATTAATTCTAAGCTTTAATAAAATTTGTAATTTTAGATTTATGGTTAAAGATTACTTAACATATACTCTCTACTTAAAAATTAGTTATTTTTAATTCGAAATTAAGCCTTAAATATAAAAATAATAAATTACAGAGGGAGTCCTTGGATTAAATATATCTTAACTCTTTTCTCAACTAAATTATCTTGTAATTGGTGCTTTTGAAGATGATTTACTAACGAAATTGAATTTTCATTGATATATTTATAATGATCATAAGATAATCTAAATGTTTTTAAAATTTAGAGGAATAAATAAATAAAGTAATTTTGGGAATGCATTAGAGATATTACTAATGAAAAATAACATGAAATCTAGAATTTAAGATTAATAATATTCAAATTTATTTAATCAATTTGGATATTGTTCTTTTTAAAATAAAATTTCAATTTATCTTAAAATATGACTTGGTATTTATCTTTATTTGATAGAATTTTCCTCAATTAATTATTATAAACTTTTTGATTCATCCTAATTTATGGCATCATAGAATTCTATTGGAGTTTTCCAAACACATGCTATAGCTTTAGCAGATTCTAAACCTACTCCATGTATACCTCTTAACATACTACCCCATAAATTAAAAAGAGATTCTGCTTTCTTTGAATTATTGTACAAAAATTCAGAAAATTTTATAGCGTTTGGTAATACTTTCACAGTTTTTGTAAACAAAGCCAACCATCTTAATGAATCTTCTAAAGTATCTGTTTACTAAATATAAAAACCATCCTTAATTTAAGTACTCCTAATTGCTTTTTCAATTGTTGCTCTTGGTACTGGCAAATTAGATGATTGAGTATTTTCTACTAAATAAAATATATTATTAATTCCACAATGTTTTAATCTATGTTTTTAAGCCTAATATCTTTTATCCAGTATACTATGAGCTAAATCTTGTATTGTTTTTCTTTCTATTATATAATCACAAATATATTCATCATCTCCTTTTTAGCAAATCCACATAAAATCACCTATTGGCAATTAACTTAATCTACACTCTATTTGATATATATTAATAAGTTTCTCATATATTATCTACCGATTATTACTCTAAAATCTTTCTCTATTATCTATTAATAATATAATTTTTTATGGTCTTTCTGAAGGTGCTATCATTTATTATTAGATCATAGTTTCTGTAAAATATTATTATCCTAATTTTATCCCATCTTCTGTTAAAGCATATTTTATTTCATTATCTAGCACAGTTCTGATTAATTTTATCAATTTACTTTTATATTAATTAATGCTTCTCCAATGTCTCTATAGTATTCCAACTACTTAATTCACTGTTACAAATTCTAAATAAATTTTAAAATTACTCTCTTAATTATTCTTTTATTTATTTTTTCGAAGCAAAAAGTTTATTTTCACTTTTTTAAAATTTATACAAACTCATTAGTACTTATCCACTTTTTGAATTTTTTCCAGGTTGATATTATCTCTTACTTTTTGATTACAAATCTGGAATAGGCTTGATAACTTATTTTCGAAGTTCTTCAATAAATGAAGCTTAAAATTATTTTTCCTTTCTTTTTGAAGTATTATCTTCAACGCATACCATAGAAGGTGGACAACTTTCTGAAAAAATTTAATCCATATCATCATCTTATTCATTTATTATATCTAAATTATCTTATATTAATGCTGCATTAAATTTATGAAATGGAATCTCATATTGTTGATATTACTTTTTTATTAATTGTAAAATCATAACTGATGTTTTATCTCCTACTCCTTATAACATTTACACTTGATCTTCACATAATAATGGCATAGGATATTTTTGAAGCGATTAAATGATCTTTTAATAAATAAAAGCTAATTTATCTTAACCTGTTCTTAAACATCTATTCTTTAATTCAACTATGTGATCTACAATAAATTAATTATGAGGATTTTTAGCTTTTATCAATTGTTTTGGCATATTTATTTGTATTTATATTTTAAAATGAATTACAAAAACTGGAATTTAAAATCCAAATAATGTTTTTAGAATAAATTATCATTTATGACAAAATTTCGAAAAACCATAAATATTTAACCAATTTTTTAAAATTCACTTTTTTTTTAATTTATCCATCTATTATTCTACTATTATATTGTATATATTAAAATAAAATTTCAATTTTTTTTAAGAAAACTCATATAAATAAATTTAAGTAAAATAGATTTTTTTATTTGAAATGTTTTAGTAATTAGATGATTTTTATTTCAGCAGAGAGTTTTTGAATTAAAAATTCCTTTAATTTTTAAGGTTTATTGATCTTTAAGGAATTAGAAATTTAATTGAATGTTAATAATTTTAATAAAGAAAACTTTTTTAGATTGAATAATTAAGATTCTTAATTATTAATAAGATGAAAATAAAGGATTAGATTGAAAAAAATGGCTTGAAAATTATTAAATAAAATTTTATTATTTGTCTTAAAATATTGATAATTTAATTATAAACATAATGAGCTTCGGGTATGAAAATTTGATTTATCGAGTAGAGTGTACTCATAATTTCAAACATTTGGTTAATCTTAAGAATTAGAAAACATTTTAAAAAATAATAACCCAACTTTGGAAGAATTATTAGAAAGAGATAATTTCTTATTTGACATAAAAGCTGGAGCTATGAATGCTTTTACTGAATTGTAATAATAAGTATTAAAATAAGTGTTTGGAAATAACCTGAGATTTTGGAAAAGATGATTCACTATATTATAGTCACAAATGAGTAAATGGATGATAATGAGAAGAGTCGAAAATTTCCCTATATTATAAGTGAAATATTTGCATTAGAAAACACCAGATTATTTGATTTATTATTCTTGAGACATCGAAATGAATCTTAATCCTCATTATTAAGCAATGAAAGATTGGTTTTAATAAAAATCTAAAATAGACTACTATAGAAGATGATATATTGCCTGAGTATCAAATTCATCATGAAGATCAATGTAAAGAAGAAGATGATTTCAATAATAATGGAGGTGGCATATCTGGAACATCAAGTTAGTATATATAAATATCATAGTCTAGTGTGCATCTTTTAAATCTAAGTCAGGAATGCACTTAAATGAAAATGTAAGGATAAATATATTAAATGCATTTTTTAAATACTTAGAAACTCCAAATATCAATGATACATCTTTGGGATATTATGCAAAGATTTTAAAACCTGTAGCCAGTAAATATGGAGGAGAAGTAATATCAATCATACAATCTTAGTTCTGGGATCATATTGTGGTTAACAATAACATAATAAGTGATTTACTCCAGCATATTAATCATTATTAAATTGTAGAAATTGTGGTTAAACTATTAATTTTAGATTACAAAGTTAATGATAATATATACATCAACTAAAAATGTTATGTACTCATTAAACATAAGCATAGAAGAATTATAGAAAATAGCTTTTGGAAGAAATGATACATTAAATGGATAGGTTTTGCGATAATATTACAGTATTTTATATCTTTACATATTAGATGGTCGCAGATATCACTTAGATATTTGATTTGCTATTAGAATAAGGTATTCAATAAAAATTATACGAATCTTTGAGAGAATTGTTTGACAATGTTCTAAAACCATATTACTTTTTTAAAATTGCTGTAATTAATTATAAATAAATTAAGAAAAAAACAGGAGTGCTTACGGTTTATAAAGTATTCTCTAAAATCTTATAGTTTATATAAGTAAATTCCTTATAAGGTATATATATTATCATGTATTTAGACCAGAAGACTTCTGATTTAATATAAGTAATCTAATAAATAAACCCACTAATAATTTTAAATTTAGAAGAGTAAAAAACTTTTGGACTCAAAAATTTATGTCTTGTTTAAGCTCTCGAAATTTGTGATAAGTAAAATTTAATTAAAATAATTTAATAGATTAAATAATCCATTATTATTTGAGTCTATGTTTTAGGCTTAATTGTATTAGAGTCTAATTGAATATGCTATACAATATGAATGGAATAACTAGCTCCAAATTTATGTTGCATCAATAATAAAATCTAGGATTTAAGATGAAAAGTATTGTTTGAGAATTCTAAAAGAAACTGATATTTTGAATACAATTAAAAAAAACTTGATTGAATAACCGACTAATTAAAGTTTTGGTTCAAAATGTAGTAATGGATATAATGGATTTTTAAAAACAGTTGGCTATAAAATATTATAAAAATAAGGAACAAACAAAAAAATAAATTAGCAATTATAAGAGTGTAATAATAAATATGATAATTAGAACATGGATATGTTATAGAAGCATTATAAAGATTGTAGTAGTTTGAATAAACATATTTATGTGAAGTAGATCCAAAAACCCACATGCAAGAAGCACCACCAGAAATCAGTATTGATAGATAAATAGAAATGCTTATAGATTCCTAAAAAGAAAAGGAGGATCAGATTATAAAATCAGAGTAATAATGAATCTATGAATTAATAAAATAAATTCATAAAACTCTAACTAATAATCACAGTTATCATAATAAATTGGATGAAAATTTAAATGAGATGATATAGTGTCGATATCTTAATTGTTTTATTTAATTAGAATAATTAAAATAAATTCAAATTTTTAGGAAGAAAATATATGCAATAAAAGGATTTCTAAAAATACTTAAAAGGCAATCCAATTTTAAATATAAATAAATTAATTCAGATATGTTTTTAAGGAATAGATTTCATTCTCTTCGTAAATTGGCTTAATTTTGCACAGCTGAGAGCGTGTCAGGAAAGAAATCTCCAGCAGCATAAACTTCATAAACAAAAGTGGAAAGAAATTACTAATTACAATTCTCAAAGTCAGCATTAGTTGATTTTGGAGAATTACCAACAGGTGAAATTCCTGAAGCTTTAAAATATGATAGACCATAAGGTATAAAAATGATAATTATAAACTAAGCTTTAACTTAATTGGATAGTGGTCTTAGAGTAGTGTCTGAATAATATAATTCTCCATTAGCTTCAATAACAGTAGCTGTGAAGGCAGGATCCAGATTTGAAACTTTAGAAAGTTCAGGTGTTTCAAATTTCATCTCAAAATTAAACTTAAGAGTATAATTAAGTATATATAATAGGGTACAACAACAAGATCAAGAGAATAAGTTGAAGCAGAAATTGATTACTTGGGAGGATCTTTAAAAGTTAAATAAGGAAGAGAATTATAGACTTATACATTAACATTTTTACCATCAGAATTGGAGAGAGCTGTAAA